AGATTGTAATTTGTAGTTCACAATTAGTTGTAGTTATAGTAATCAGTGTATAAAGAAAAGGTGAAATATGTTATTTACCCGGAGTTGTCAGCTTATTCGATAATAAGGGACAAGCTTTGTATTTAATTTGTTTTGGAATGGACTGAATTATCCCGTCGTCTATACTTTGACTAAAATTCAATTAGTTTGAGTTGATATATGTGTATCCTATGAAGATTAACTCTATATACCCATTGTGACACAAGTTAGTATAGAATAGATGGAAAGTGGCTAGCAATGGAATCCAGGATACGTATCCTAAATAGGATCAAACGCGCCGACTGGATTTCACTGCTAACCGCATTCCATTTATTCTATACCAACTAGTTTATGTATCTACCTGAACTAAGGATAGAGAGGGAAACAGTCGAATGCGTTGACAACTTCACTTATCTTGGAAGTCTTATTACCCCTATTGGGTTGGTGTCTGACGAAATTTGTGCACAAATTCGAAAAGCTCGTTTGACGTTTGCTAACTTACGTCAACTATGGCGAAGGCGAGATATCAGGGACGAGTATACTGCGCGGCAGTTCGTTCTGTTCTACTTTACGGCTGCGAAACGTGGCCATTAAGAGTAGAAGATACTCGTAAGCTACTAATATTTGACCACAGATGTCTTAGAAATATTGCTGGTATCTGCTTGGATCACCGGGTAAGCAATTGTGAGGTTAGACGCAGAGTATTAGGTATTAGGGAATGATGGTAAATCAGTTGATGAGGTTGTGAATCTTCATCGACTGAGATGGTTGGGCCATGTATCACACATGCCCACGGTGTTTGACACATTATATTCTAACTCATTTACCTACTCTGAATATCATTCAATCGGATTTGCATAAGTTAAATACTATTCAGGAAGTTAAGTTAATTAGAATGGAAATTAAAATAACTAAGATTCATAGCATCTTCAACTAATAAGTCTCTTGTGAAACATATTAAAGATCATGATTTGAATAATTCAAATGACAATTTCAAATAGACCAAAATAGTATGAGTTCACTCTTAAGCATCTTGTTAGTATATTTTATTAATTTCTATTCACTTATATTTTTCCTATTTATTTGATAATTTTCTCTCTCTTGTCACTCGGTATAGATATTTGAGCCAATATTTTATTGTTCAAAATACAACATTCTTGTGTTTGCCTTTATGTGTTAGTTTTGAGAACGTCTGTAACATGATGACAAACTCTACACCTTATTAAAGTTATTTTTGTGAATGAATGTTAGAATGACTTATTTTACTTCAACCGAGTATATCTGAGTTCATTGTTGGTTTATTACTGTTATTATTATTAGTAATAGTAGCGTTAGTATTACTATTATTAAACACATAAGAAGTAATAAGCTTATTTTTTTATTCAAGTTTTGTTGAAATTTCAGTATCCATTTTTTCTTGTTTTTTACTTTAGTTTGTTAATACATATACATTTTATGCGAAATATGTTGATAAAAAGTCTTCACGACATTTTTTTTACATATATGCCTATGTATTTCTGCGAAAACAGATTGTATTAAGAAGAAAAGATTAATTTTCGGATCTTTGTTTCATAAAAAATTCATCGCTTTTGTTTCTATTGTATTTATCTGTTCAATTCATTTATAAAGTACGAATTCGTGTACTTAACTTCGAATCATATTCTAGATGTAACAGTTAGTGATATTACACGATTACGCAAACCAATGTAGATGGGATAGAGTTCGAACCTGTGACTTATTAGCCAGAATCCAAACAGCTTAACCACTGAGATATCAATTCGTTTGGTTTTGTTATTTGTTACATGAAAAAAGTAGTCAGTGTTTTTTCAACAAATCATTTACTTTACCTAAAAATATTACACAAAAATATATGTAGTTAAACTTTATACACATATGCACCCATCAATTAATTATAGGTTTTAATGATCTTAATTAATGTAACGTTGATGTGGACGAGTGAATTTGGAAGGGAGAGAGGAATAAAGAAAACATGAATCGACAGCTCAATAGACACAAAATGTACTTATATCTAGTACAGTACTACAATTGAATAAATGCGGTGATTGACAAGCGTAAATTCAAGATTATCTGTCTTGTTTTAGAAACTTGAAATGGATAGAGTAACGTTTTAAATTCATTAAAATATTAATATGATATAAACAGTTAGTTCTTTCGTTTCAGAATATTCTCACGAAAAAATTGTATTAAACACAAGTTTAACCTTGAAAATGATGTTTTACGGTCAGATCACGTGAATTTACTCGACTGAATTATAATTGAACTTTTATTCTGAAAATTAGTTAAATAATTTTCAAACCCAATGGTTCTATGTTATCATATTTTCTTTTCAAATCGAGTTTTCGTTAAAAATCAATTTGCTATTCTATCTATGTGTTTACCTTCATCTATTCTTATTTGGCATAGAAATGTCCTAAAAATTTGATAAGCAGAAATTGTTAAAAAACAAAACAATATGAGTTGCAAACCACTTATATAAGTTTTTTTTAGTATACACTTGATGAAATCAATGTCATCAAACTACTTAGACAATAAGTATGTACTTTTTTATTTTTTCTGAATAAAGCCAAAATAACAACTGAGGGTGAATAATATCAATTGATTGTATTTCATGGTTTATCTTCAGCTACTTACAGCCATATATCTATTGAAATGTAATATTTGAGGTGAGATATAATGTGCAAGAACAGATGTGAGACCATTCGGAGATCGAGTTCCAAAAACATAGAAGGCAGATAAGGCAGTATTATCAATTGTTTTACAGTACATCTTACTTCAATGTTACATTTCAATACATATATGGTTGTAAGCAGCTGATGAGAAACCACGAAATATAATAAATTCATATTATTCAGCCTCAGTTCTTGTTTTGGATTTATTCGAATTCATAAAAGAAAACCAATTGCACGAAATTTCTGAAGAGATTGAGGGAGTGAGAAAAGGATAGTATAGTTTGGTATAATTTTGGCTTTGATTACAGATGTTAATATAAAAAACTCAATTTTCATTTCTTCGCAAACTATTATTGCTTTTGAAGCACTGCTCAATTTCTGTGTAATCATCAACACATGAGTAATGCTGTTGTCAGACGTAGTTATTCAATAAATTGATTTTCCTTGTTGTCATTCTGTATCATCCTTTTAAATCTTGGATTATTATGTTATTGCATATTTCTGATTTATTAATTTTATTCATACCTCTGATCTATATTTTCGATGATTGCTTTTGTCTACTATCCGTCTTATTCTATCAATTTCTTTATTCCTATTTGTGGTGAGTGAAGTTTTGCAACTTGAAATGAAACATACTTTTATCTGGTCATATGATTTTTGACGTAATTTAGGATTTTATAGCTGTTACTGATAAAACCCATACATTTTAGTTCATTAATACTTAGTCTTTCAGTGTTCTTTCAGCTATTTGTGCACAATTTGTTATGGAGAGGTGTTTGATGATATGATGCGATGAGATTTTTGTTTGTTGTAATCAATCTATAGAATGCTAACCGATAAATGAACACAGTACTATGGTATTGCTGAATAATGGCTACTCGAGAGACCGTATTATTGACTTAATATCCGTGAATGATCAGAACTCAATGGCAAGACCATTAGGCAGGTGGATAGTTCTTCATTAATAACATACTTACTACGTGAATAGGAACACAATAAACATGATAAAATACCATAGTCAATTAGAGGAATTCAGCTTGTAGGTCAATCAATTAGTAGTTGACTGTCAGACCTCATTTTTGTGCACGTTTCATAAATTGACAATTAATTATTCAGCTTTTATTCAAATTACGTCAAATTATTTAACAATGAATTCCTCTAGTGAAATATAGTTCGATGGAACTCTGTAAATTATTTTTTCGGTTATGCATTTCCATACATCAAAAAATGTTTGAAACTGGCAAAAAAGCGCTAAATTTTGATTATTTACTTATTGCATTAGTATAAATGTAGTAGTTGAAACAATTTCTGTAGATTTTTAAAGTGTTTTTTTTCTTGAAAAATAAATGCAACTCAATAGCGAAGTATAAATTCATAGGATCCCATTTTCTTGAGAAAGACGTTTTGTGTGCTCTTACTTAAATTAATGTTAGTGTAGTTGGTAAAAATGTATTTTTATTGTCAAGAAATTGAGGTTTAAGATGGCGACCCTTGGAATTTTGCTTGAGATTCAGAACACAGTGATGGATAGCGTGTATTTACAACCAATATTTAAGCAATAAAATGGTTAAAACGGCTAAACACGAGAAATATTAAGGATAGCGTTGCATGATCCCTACACTTTTTAAGGTAACCTATACGGATTTTATTTTTTTAAACTAACTCCTAATTCTAACCAGAACTCATAGACTTTCTGTTTTTTGCATTAAGATGTTGATTTATATCACCAGGATTTTTATTGTTTAAAAGTCGGCATTTCTTTCTCAATGTTACTTTACTAGTCTTTAAAGACTGTTCTTATGCTGTAATTTCATTGTGTAATGGTAACTTTCGAACTTTCGGCGTAGCTTTGTGAATCATTAAGTGTACGCTAATCATTAAACTACCCATCCATTGTATTGCACATTTAATACACGAATTAGCTTGTTTTTTTCTCTGGATTTTTTAGGATTGGTAACTTAAAAAAAAACGGAAAGATTTTGTGCAGTACCAATTTTTAACTGTTCACAAGGATATATTACAAAAAACTAGAAAAAAGTACAGTATTATAAGCTGTAACAGTGAAAAGTTAGTTCTAAATTTAAATTCATGAAATCCACAACCCTTCATATACATTGAGTATATATATTAGTCAATGCACTATTCACCATTCGTTTGTATACACCGAGTTCAATATTTTGTGAACTTATCTTTTTTAAACTGGAATGAAAGTTTGTATAACAATTAATAGTTTTTATTCTAAAAATATTTTAGTTTATAAATCTTTTCCCTTTTTTTCTTCCCTATTAATAGATCTATGGAGTTGCTTTTAGTCCAATGGGACAATTTTTTGTTACAGTTGGTGTACGTTATGTTCGTTTTTGGTATTTAGAAAATAAACGTAGTAAAGTAAGTTTTTGTAATTTTGGTCACTATATATAATTTCATATAAATTGCTTAACAGTGGTAATATTCAAAATAATAATTGTCAGTTGAACATAAACAATTAGAAATAAAATGGCATTTTTTGAAGAACTTTATTTTAGAAATCGTTATTATAATGTTACCTTTTAATATATTTCAATGGTTTAATTGATTAACTAATATACCAAGCATAGATTTATGTATTGAGTGTTGAGCTACTTTTTAATTAGAAAGTGTTGGTTGTCTAAGACCCGAACTAGGTGGCTGTAGAGTTGTACGTGTAACCTACTTGATGGGAAGCTATAAATTTTTGTCATTAAACTACCGTTTCACTTCAACATTCTGATGATCTTTCGTGATAATTCATTTCTTAGAAAAATTCATGTTAATATTTTAAATAAACTAAGCTTATTAACTTGTATTCAACTGTAGAGAAAGCAACAACATTTAATTAATTCATTGTAGTCTGCAAATATCGTGGATCTTGTTTCATTTCACATTTGTAAAGGGTACTAATTTTTCCCGATCATTTAATGGACATAAGTAGGTTATTTAAAGTTATTTATCGTATTCCTATTAGTTTCCCTTTTGGGGTTCGATCTCGTCTCTTACACATAGCAGAAGCTATAGAAATTTGAGCTAACAATCCAAGTCTTTGTGTTCATAAGAAATTTGTAATACCTTTATCTCTCCCTTGACCCTAACAAATGATTTTATGTATTATTATTTTTCACTCTTCCTTCGTTTATTTTTCTTCACCCTCTTCCATCCTTTTCTATTCTCAGATATACGCTTCACTGTCCAATAATCTAAACACTTATTACGCAATCTTATTTTTTTTGAATGTTATTTCAGTGTCTATATTTTCTAATCATTGACCTATTTCCCATTATGAAACATTGATTCTAGCCTTCATTATTCTTATCGCCACTAATACACCTGTCATCGCACTACTGATTTGTACTTTTCACTTATTATGTTAATTTATGTAATCTATTCCACTGTTATCGTTGGCTTCAGATTAGACAAAAAAACTTGTCTCCATCACGGCAACCATATGGTACTTTAAAATTTTTGGGCTGAAATTCGAACATCTCTATTTGTTATTAATATACGTATGTCGTAGCAATATATCGTTTAACTAAACACAGTCTCTTCATTAAACGAGTATTACATCAAATGAAATGAAATGTGAGATGATATGTACAAAGATAGGGTAAATCAACACTCATTATAATCTTAGCAACAATACAAATATTACGTATACGATTGTTCTACACTTTTCTTCACCTTTATTTTTTTCATTCTAACTTATAGATTCGTGAAACTCTACCACTTCATGGAAGAAATGCTATTTTAGGCGATATGTTCAACAGTGTATTTACCGATGTATGCTGTGTCAATTCGTCGTCATCGTCGTTGTCTTCCTCGCCTACTTTGTCTTCCTCTAATCCCGGTTCTACTCAAATTCATTCTGCTAAATTGAGATCTTCAGCAGGAGGCGAAGGAAAAGATCGTGAAGATGTAACAAACAATAACAGTGGTAAAATTGCATCAGCATCATCATCACCGTCTCCAGGTATCGGCTCTACAACAACACCAACCACAGCATCTACTACTTTGACATTAGTCGTAAATACAGCTGGTCGTTTAATACAATTTAATGGTCAAAGAGATTTAGATAAATGGGTTGATTTAAAAGTGAGTTAATGAATTGTTCATCTTTATCACCGTTCCTCTCTCTCTCTCTGTGTATGTTTATCTACCTATCTTTATTTTATACTTGTCTACTGCGCACATTGTTCTTTCTAAATCATTCATCCAATGTATGTAATTAATTTGTTTAGAACTTTAATTAAATTATCAGTTAATACCTCTAGAATACACCAATGAATTTATTTTTATGCTTTATTGATGAATATTTGTAGATGACGTCATATAATTCTTTTTTTAACAAAATTAACACTTTATCCTTTGTTTCTTTTATGTATACTTATAGTTTGTTTTATTTTATGGACTATATTTGAATGATAGTCATTTTAATCAGTGCAGAATTCAAACTATTATTCACCTAGGTAACCAATGGCCACTTTTTCAATGAATCCATAAAACTTTGTCATTCATGTTATTTCATTATTTATCCAATTAACAAATGACTATGACTGTAACTTTATTTTTCATTTTTACTACGTTCAATAGTCAATAGTATGCGCAACTTACTTCGTTATAACATTAATAAATGATCCAAACTATTGATTTGTATCTATTTGTTATTAAAGTGTTTTATGTTCTTTTTAAGCTTAACCAATATTAATTGCCAATCATTTTAAATTTATGTATAGCAGATATTTGTTTAGTTTAAGGGTGATTTTTGTTAAGAATTGACGTCAACTAAAAAAAACTTGATAGTTTGAAACTGTTCAGTAATATCCTTATACGTTGTCATACAAAGTTGAAAATCGATTAGCAAATTTTCAAACCCCTAGGTCAGAATCTAATAGACTAAGTTTTCTCTTTGGAATGTGGTACAAGTTGTATCCAATGTATATTTATGACTCTTCCATATTAGCCTTGAATTGATTAATATAATACATGCCACTATCCTGTGTGATGAGTGTGTACTACTACTAGGGCTTCCAAATTAGGATCAAACATTCATTTTTTATTTCATAACAGTTTGTAATAGAATTTACCTTCATGGTTCAGTATTAATCTAAAAAGGACGTCCAACCAATAAAAAATGTATACTTCAAGTAATATAATGCCACTACTTCTATTGAATCTCATATCTTATTCAGCTATACAAGATTTCTTAACCATTTGTGTATCTTTCGTTTAATGTTTATTGTGTTGAAGTTGAAACTCAATCATTTACATCAATGATAAGTGTTGCTAATCCCACTGGATTCGTTCTACAAAATAGTCTATTTTCAGCGGAATTTTTTCACAATAAGCAGTGAAATCCAGGATGCGCGTTTCGTCCTTTTCGAAACTCTTCAGCTGGATTTACCTGCACCCAGCTCAGAGAACGAAACTCCATCAAAATCATTCATCTGAGCTACGAATCTTCACTATCTCGAGACCGGTGAATGTAATTTATATTTTCGTATTGTGCATGACTTGTAACTTGTATATCTCTTTGTACATAATAAACACTGTCGATTTTTTCCTTTTCAAATTAACATAGATTATGATTATAACATTTAGAAATTGTGTACAAGATCTGATAAATCTGGCTTCTTACTGGACTTTATTTTGTGTATGTTTCTTAAACTAGTCCTTTTATTATAAGCAAACATGGGCTTAAGGCGATATTGAGGCAATCGTCGTAGAATGCACGTATGCCAATAAAAGATTGATCAATTGCAGATTCAAACAAACAATACCAAGTGAATTTAACCCTTTTGTTACGTATTCGCATAAAAACGTTTAACGTGAAATATTTTGGAGAATGGATAAATTTCACACAAATTGGTTCAGCAGACTACATGTGTGAAACAAAGAGATTGTAAACTTCAATGATTAAGATCATGAGTCAGTTGAAGCCAGACCACCATAAAAAACCTGGAAGCACTGGACGGCCGTTTCGTCCTGTTGTGGGACTCCTCGGCAGTGCGCACCCACGACCTCGCCCCCTGCGAGATTCGAACCCAGGACTACTACAATCTCTACAAAACCCCTTCTGATATTAATCAACATATGCTCACTAGTGACTGGCTTCAAGAGGTATATCCGGGAGTTCTAGTGAGAAGCAGTGACCAGTGGAGTTCAACCGGGTCTGTTGTGAGATAGTAACTCATTGAAGACGATGGTGGATGTGTCGCTCAATTTCGTGGATTAGTTAAAGTTAGACATTAACACCGTCGGATTCCGGCTCAGTGGTCTAGTGGTTAAGTGCTCGCGCGCGAAACCAGTTAGTCCTGGGTTCGAATCTCGCAGGGGGCGAGGTCGTGGGTGCGCACTGCCGAGGAGTCCCACAACAGGACGAAACGGCCGTCCAGTGCTCCCAGGTTTTCCATGGTGGTCTGGCTTCAACTGACTCATGATCTTAATCATTGAAATTACTACAAACCCCTTCTGAGATTGTAAACTGTTCATTGTGTGTCGTGGTATGGATTATTGTAACAATCAATCCTATTGTATGTGCATTTATTTGTCTGTTAATTCAAATCGCATATGATGTGAATTAATGGGGACAATCAATCGTTGACTCAGTTTATCTAGGGAGGATACATTTATTATGAAAAATCGATAAATAGACAGACAGCTACATTCATACATAAATAAATATATAAATAGCTAAAATGATGACCAATTAATTAAATTAAATCATAAGATTAAAACGGGCACATATTTGCTGGTCCAAATAAGAACAGATTTATGTACGGCTGTTAAAAAATTGTTATTTTCAATAAAATTAAATCATAACTTCACTAAGGTATATCCTAATTAAATTGGATATGCCAATAGAATAGTTGTAAACTAGACAGACCAAAGAAACAAAAGATTGATAACAATCGTCCTCTCGAATTTCTTTTATTCTTTAAATATTCTATCAGAAGTTTTAAAAAATCTATTGAAACTTAACACTTTCAGCCATCATTTTGTTACAGACTGATTTCCATACATTGTAGTCTAGGTTTCTGTTATTATTTATAATTGTCATATTTCTTTTATTTTCTTAGACTTCTAGAGCGAACTGCATTTCAACAAGTGGTTCATGGGTAACTGTTGGTTGTACCACCGGTGTTTGTCTATTATTTGAAGCTGAAAGTTTACAATTTATAGCTAAACTTCCTTTACCTCATTCGTTGGGTTCTAGTTTGCATGTAAGTTGTAATCTTTTCTATTTTAACAGAAAATATTTATATATTGATTTTGTTGTAAAATGTAATGTCTTTCCGATCGTTTGAGGTTTTGAGAAATATATAGTATCAGTATCCGTCACGCGCGCGAACGCTTAACCTCTAGACCAACGGTGTTAATGTCTAACTTGAGTCGATGCATGATCTTGAGCAACCCTTCATCCATTGTCTGAAGTGGATAACTGTCTCCACCTGAGGAGTCCCATACTAGGACGAAACAGCCGTCCAGTGTTTCCAGGTTTACAGTGGTGGTCTAGCTTAGATCAACTCATTGAATTCAACCATTAAAATTATATAATAGACTAATAGAAAATAATCGGTATAGCAGTTGTTCATGAGCAAGAGGAAAATATTAATAAAAGCTTCTGGAATTCATCTTCCATGTATTTGTTGTTTTTATGTTAGGTATATGTTCTCACCATTAATTTTGCATTTCATTCTTTACATATTTTCATAAAATATTTCATGATTTTCTTACTCGCTTTTGTACATCTTTCTGTTTCCATATCAATACTGTATGCTTATTAAACTAAATAGTATAATCTGTTTTTTTTGAAAAAAATGCAATGAAATTGGAAAAAAATATCAATTTAAATAAATCTTACCTGATTACATGATGGATATATTCTTTTTTTATTATTATAATTTAATTACATAATTTATCCGAAGTTACTAAAATCTTCACAGTTCTTCCTGGTTAGACTAAATGTTTACAAACTTTCCGGTTTATAAACACTTTGTCGAGGAATTCTTGTGAGATTTTAACAGTGAAATTAATTTACAAGCAATTTCGATTGCATATTAATCTCACTGTAGATTGTGAACGCATTTATATTCTTTTCTTACGTTGGTTCTATATGTTCATTTAAACTTGCATTGTTATCGTTATTATTATTATTACTATCATTATTATTATTATTATCATTATTGTTATTATTATTATTATTATTATTATTATTATTATTATTATTATTATTATTATTATTATTATTATTGGTGTAGAGGGTTTCCTTCTCTATCTGACTGTAGTTCCTTTCTGTCGTTGTCAGTGGTCGTGCAGCTTAGGCAATCTTTTTCTCAGATCCATCTTGGTTGACATGTGAAATCACTGCTCCAATTCCATAATTTGACGCATCTGCTGCGACCACAATAGGAAGGACTGGATCATAGTGCGTAAGTAGAAAGTTTGACGGTAGGAACTGTTTTAGTTTTAGAACGCTTCTTGACATCCTGTTGATCAGTTCCATTTGATATACTTTGTTAGTAAACATTCAGCGGGGCCTACAGACGGTGCAGGTTTAGAGGGAAAACAACATAATGACTAGCCATCTTCAAGAAGGAACGCAACTTTGATATATCTGTCGGTGGATGCATGGTCTTGATAGCCTCGACGTTTTCTGGATCAAGTTTTCTTCCATTTTCGTCGACTATAAATCTCGCATAGCGCACTTGCTCCATGTATAAATCACATCATAGGAAAGGTCTCTCAGATTCTTGGGAAGAATGAAGTTGGTGTATCGTTCATTTTCAACTATGCCTGACCCAGCAAATGATCCGAAATCGAAAGGGATTTACAGATGATTCATTCAAATCCCATGTCGACTACATCAATAATTCTATCTACGAATTTGATTTTGATGGTTTAGCCAGTTTGACATTCGAATCCTGGTTCAAGAAATATTAAGCTGTATTCACTGTCGACTTAGAGAAGTTCGATGGTGCCGCAAAACTCAGAGTTCTACTACGCAAAGTTGGCACAGCTGGAGATGAACGAAATTTTGTTGCAAATCTTTGATGAACAGTGATCTTTGTTCAATATTCATTACCAATATCTCAAGTTAGCAAAGGCTGGCGCCGAATACTGGGTGCAATATGCCGGACTAGTAAGTCGCGAGTGCGAGCGTTTTAAATTATCGGCAATGATAGAAGACCGATTTAAGTGTCTTGCTTTTGTATGTAGCTTGCAGTCGTCTGAAGATGCGGATATCAGAACCTGAATTTTGAATAAAATTGAACAATATCCAAAGATAACGCTGTAAGTAGTGAACACTGAATGTCAGGGGTTAGTGAACTTGAAACATGACACTTCTATGATTTAAAACAGTGACTGGCCATCATACGGGCAGGTAATAAATGGACAAAAAAGATTTTTTTTTACATGAAAACAGGACAGCTCAAATAAGTACCTTTCATCCTCGTTCTGGTTATGCAGTGAATGTCAAACATTGCACGAAGTTTCGTCCATATAAAAACTACTGTTGCACTAAATGTCACCATAAAGGACACTAGGAATCCTACTGTAAAGAAAAGATATATATGGTTGTCGTCCACAGTGATTTTGTTCCGGGAGACATAAACTTCACACATCAACCAGTCAAATAATGGTAGAAAAGCCAAAGCTATATGTATACAAAGGAAACTTATTCATTCTCTTCTCCCATAGCATTATCCTCTAGTTTCCTATATTTACTACTCTCCCCCTTTTCTTCTCTATTGACTTCTTTACTCTTTGTATATTCCTTTTATTAAGAAGTATAGAATAATTGTTTCTATTTTGTCTCGAAATTTGTTTTGAAATAGATGGATTCATCATCAAACACCTTTTTTTAGTAATTATCTAGTTGAGTTCAGTGTATCATAAATCTACATGTTTGTTTAAATACTCAAGAATTCTTTCTTCACATAAATTTCTTTCTTTGTACACATTTTCCCATTATACTAAATGACTATATTCGTCAGAATATTTAAGTTTATGGATTGTTCTAAACAATTACACTTTGTTCTAGCACCAATCAAGTGTTGGTTAACTATTCAGTCGATTCATTGATTTTTTTTAAAAAAAAGTGAAAACTAACTTATTTCTTGTTGTATTTAATGGTATTATTTACTCTCCTGAAAACAGTCTCAAATCTTAGTGATTTCATAAATCTGTGTAAACACACACACACACACAAAACTTTAAAGTTATTTGTCGCATAGATTTAATCATGTATGTGACATGTAAACAATTTGGTCGGTAAAAATTCCTTAGCGTTAACTACATGTGTCCGTTCATATGTCATGATTGTTACTATGTGGAAAGGCGGCGGAAACAAAAACTAGAAATATAAAAATTGAATACTTGTTCTTTGTGTGCAAATATTATATGTAATTTTCTTATGAGTATTTATCTGATGTTTGTTTTCTCAGAAAAATGTTTTACTATATACTTCCAGTTGTAAACTTTTGTTCGGCTTGTGAATTATGTTAGGTTTTCTTCTAAGGTCAAAAATTATAATCTTTTAATTATACTTACTTACTTACGTCTGTTACTCCCAATGGAGCATAGGCCGCCGACCAGCATTCTCCAACCCACTCTGTCCTGGGCCTTCTTTTCTAGTTCCATCCAATTCTTGTTCATTTTTCTCATATCTATCTCCATTTCCCGGCGTAATGTATTCTTTGGTCTTCCTCTCTTCCTTCGACCTTGAGGATTCCATATGAGGGCTTGTCTTGTGACGCAGTTGGGTGTTTTCCTCAATGTGTGTCCTATCCACTTCCAGCGCTTCTTCCTGATTTCTTCCTCCACTGGGATCTGATTTGTTCTCTCCCACAGTAGGTTGTTGCTTATAGTGTCCGGCCAGCGGATCTGAAGTATTTTGCGTAGACAACTGTTAATAAACACCTGTATCTTTTGGACGATGGATTTCGTAGTTTTCCAGGTTTCCGCGCCATACAGTAGAACTGTTTTGACATTTGTATTGAAAATTCTGACTTTGGTGTTGGTTGCCAATTGTTTTGAGTTCCAGATATTCTTCAGTTGTAGATATGCTGCTCTTGCTTTGCCAATCCGTGCCTTCACATCTGCATCAGATCCACCGTGTTCATCGATGATACTGCCCAAATATGTAAAGGTTTTTACATCTTCCAAAGCTTCTCCGTCAATTGTGATTGGATTGGTACATGCTGTGTTGTATCGAAGAATCTTGCTTTTCCCTTTGTGTATATTGAGACCTATTGCTGCTGAGGCTGCTGCTACACTGGTTGTCTTCTCCTGCATTTGTTGTTGCGTATGCGATAGAAGAGCCAGATCATCTGCGAAGTCTAGATCATCCAATTGCATCCTAGCTATCCACTGTATCCCGTGCTTCCCTTCAGATGTTGATGTCTTCATGATCCAGTCGATCACCAGGAGAAAGAGAAAGGGTGAGAGTAAGCAACCTTGCCTAACACCGGTCTTTACTTCGAACGACTTTGTCAACTGTCCTCCATGCACGATTTTGCAGTTTAATCCATCATAGGAATTCTGTATGATATTGACTATCTTCTGATGCACGCCGTAGTGTCGAAGAAGCTTCCATAGTGTTGTTCTGTCCACGCTATCAAATGCTTTTTCGTAGTCGATGAAGTTGATATAGAGTGATGAATTCCATTCAATTGATTGTTCCACAATGATCCGTAGAGTTGCGATTTGGTCTGTGCACGATCTATCCTTACGGAATCCTGCCTGTTGGTCTCGAAGTTGGGCGTCTACGGAGTCCTTCATCCTGTTTAACAATACCCTGTTGAAGACTTTTCCTGGTATTGAAAGAAGAGTGATTCCCCTGTAGTTGTCACAGTTGCTGAGATTGCCTTTCTTTGGTATTTTGACTAGAAGTCCTTCTTTCCAGGCTCTCGGTACCTGTTCCTCATCCCAGATCTTTCTGAAGAGAATGTGGAGTATCCTTGCAGTTGCCGCTACGTCTGCTTTCAGTGCCTCTGCTGGAATGCTGTCTAGTCCTGCTGCTTTGCCACTCTTGATTTGTCTGATAGCCATGCTGATTTCTTCAATTGTCGGTGGCCAACATCAATTGGGAGGTCCGTGAGTGCTGCTTCGATGTTGGGTGGGTTCAGTGGGGCTGGTCGATTCAAGAGTTCTTTGAAGTGTTCTACCCACCTGTTTCGTTGTTCTTCAATGTTGGTGATTATCTTGCCTTCCTTGCTTTTCACTGGTCGTTCTGGTTTACGGTGATTTCCAGAGAGTTTCTTTGTTGTTTCATATAGTTGTCTCATGTTTCCTTCTCTGGCAGCCTTTTCCGCCGTCAATGCCAAATCTTCCACATATTTACGTTTGTCAGTGCTGATGCTCCTCTTCACTTGCTTGTTTACTTCTGTGTATTCAGCCTGTGCCTTGACTTTTTCTGCTCTTGTTCGACTGGTATTGATTGCTGCTTTCTTGTTCCTCCTTTCTTGAATCTTATCCAGTGTATCGACCGTGATCCAATCCTTGTGATGGTGCTTCTTTTGGCCCAGAACCTCATGACATGTTGAAGTGATTGCCTCTTTTATCTCTTTCCAGTTGCTCTCCATAGTAGTTCCTTCTCCATTGAGTAGATCATGAAAGGCTTGGAACTTATTGCTGAGGGTTATCTTGAATTTATTGAGTTTGTCATTATCCCGAAGAAGAGCCATATTAAATTTTTGTGATATTGTCCTCCCCGTTGTCCATTGCCTCTTGAGTTTCAATTTCATCTTGGCGACCAGCAAGTGATGATCTGATGCTATATCAGCTCCTCTCTTTGTTCTCACGTCCTCCATCGTCCTCCTGAACTTTTTGTTGATGCAGATATGGTCGATTTGGTTCTGTGTGGTGTGATCCGGTGAAGTCCATGTGGTTTTGTGTATGCGTTTATGTGGGAATATAGTCCCGCCTATGACCAGTTTATTGAAGGCACATAGATTTGCAAATCTCTCACCATTTTCGTTCCTTTCTCCGAGTCCGTGTCGTCCCATGATCTCTTCATATCCGGTGTTGTCAATTCCAACCTTGGCATTTAGGTCTCCCATCAGAATAGTCAGGTCTTTAGTTGGGCACTTCTCGACGATTGACTGCAGCCTATCGTAGAATTGATCTTTAGCGTCTTCATTGTAGTCGTTGGTAGGCGCATAGCATTGGATGACGTTCATTGTAATGCCCTCTTTCTTTGTTTTGAAGGAGGCTTTGATGATCCTTGGTCCATGAGATTCCCATCCTATAAGTGCATTTTGTGCTTGTTTGGACAGCATCAATGCAACTCCTTGTGTATGTGGAGCATTTTCTTGTTCATGTCCGGAGTATAACAGCAGCTCCTCTGAAGCTAGTCGATGTTGTCCAACTTGCGTCCAATGTGTTTCACTGATCCCAAGCACCTCTAAATTGTATCTCCTCATTTCTGCAGCAATTTGGAAAACTCTCCCAGTCTCCCACATTGTGCGAGCATTCCATGTACCTAAATAAATGGTTGCTCTGGTTGTCAGAAGGGGCATCGGCCTCGTGACTTCCGAAGAAACTCGGCTTTCATCATGAGGCGTCATAATTCTTCTAAACGAAGACCTCCTGACTCCCAGGGCAGAGTTTAAATGGTTTGAATAATTTTTTCTGGTTAGCGTTTTTTTAGCGAGTTAGTTTTCTACGGGATGGGGTCGCTAACCCCATGCCCAACCCTCCTCCTTTATCCGGGCTTGGGACCGGCGGTAGCCCCCGGAAAGGGGCTCCAGGCGGAGTTCTTTTAATTATAAGTAGGGTTAATTTGTTTTTAATGACGCAAAAGTATCTTGGTTTGGTAAACGTACTGCTATTTACAAATTATATAGTACATTTTTGTTTGATATATTACTTGTTATATATAACTAGGAAACTTAATAGGTCTGTCTAATAAAAAATAATTGAGATTTGTAGGAAATCTGCTCTTCTACTGTTTGTAATTGGAAGTTAAGGCATAGTGAGACAGTTTGCATAGTTCTCCGTTGTTTATCTAGTTAATTGTTTTGGAAAGTTTAGTCTCAGGAAATCATTTGAAAAACAAAATACAGGAAGCACTAAACAGTTGGTTTCATCTTTTCTTGGTGGGTTTGATTTCCTGCCGGGAGGTCCACTTATTGACTTAGAATACGCAGTTGGTGAAGGCAGTGACAAAATTCAGAGTCTTTTGGTAGCACTAAGCAACATTGAGATGTGTTTCTCCTCCTCTAAATGCAAGTTGCTGCTTCAGGACGTACCTGAATTAAGAATAGGGAGTGAAGTAGTCGAACGCTTCGACAACTTCACTTATCTTGGAAGTCTTATCACCCCTATTGGGTTGGTGTCTGACGAAATTTGTGCACAAATTCGAAAAGCTCATTTGGCTTTTGTCAACTTACGTCACCTATGGCGAAGGCAAGATATCCGTTTATCAATAAAAGGACGAGTATACTGCGTGGCCGTTTGTTCTGTTCTACTTTACGGCTGCGAAACGTGGCCATTATTTATTTATTTTATTTTATTTTAACACATAAATATTGGTACAAGGAGGCACCAAATATATATGCGCCACACAGATCTCATTTGATATGTGTGAGGGCTGTGATACTGCACGGGTGCCCAAACAGTAGCAGGTGGTTTTCTTAGGGGGCCACACCCCGAGCCTTTGACCTGAAGATCTGACCCACAAGGCAGTGGAGCATCGTAAGGAGATGCAGTCCCATGGTAGCCGGTGACCAACGATTGGTTCATACGCCATTTGTTCCCGCAGGATACTGGAGCCCATGTGCACCATTGATTTGGGATCCGGTTAAAGCGCCGGACATTCGCTCTTCGTCCTCTCATTTTCGTAAACAACACCCCCGCCACGAGAAGGCAGTGAGTAGGACTTCCCTGGCAGAGGCTATATACGCGTGGCCATGTGAGAGTATTCCGAGAGGGAGAGCGGAATCTCCCCACTATCGGCCGTACCAGGGCGTTCGGGGGCATTAAGAGTAGAAGATACTCGTAAGCTACTAGTATTTGATCAAAGATGCCTTAGAAATATTGCTCGTATTTGCTGGGATCACCGGGTAGGTAATTGTGAGGTTAGACGCAGAGTGTTAGGTATTAGGGAATGATGGTAAATCAATTGATGAGGTTGTGAATCTTCATCGACTGAGATGGTTGGGCCATGTATCACACATGCCCAACCACCTATTACCACGTTATTTCGGGCGGATGGACGAAAGCTAGAGGTAGTTGAATCAAAACGCGGCATTAGTGCGTGAAGTCACTTAATTCTGGTCTGAGGCATGCTAGTAGATGCAGAATACTTGATTGAGGTCCATGCGACTACTGTTACCAGTGGTTGGAGACTCTTCGCTTATACTGTGAAGTTAAGTTTACTTTATACCTTTCTTTCTAAGAACTATTTCTCTCTCTTTGTATCATATCCTAATATGAAGTGTTTTTTTAATACAATTAAAATGACTACTATGACTTTGGTGTTTATCTTGTTATGCTAATGTGGTGTGGCGACTTGAACCAATGCATGTATGTGCCTGGTCTTACGTTGTAGCTGACTGAATGACAGGATAGTTTTTTATAATGCACACACAACTACTTATTGGAATGATAATAAACTCAGTATCTTTGTTTTAGTTGGAATTACCAGGGAGTCCAAGATATATGTTTCGTCTTAGCTGGGATGTATCAACCAAACATGCCTACATCCCAGTTTTGACGTTTACATCAGTATTCGAACATCTTATACGCCTAATGTATCTCAACTAGAATTGAACGCGCCTCTTGAATTCCAGTCCTGTTTATACTCAGTATTAAATAAAATTTATGTCTGGAAATATTGTTGAAGTACTTCGTTTAGGGCGAACTTGTGCCAGAAGAGATTGGGTAAACAGAATCCTTTATCCCAATAATCATATAACTGGGATCATTACATGAATTTTGGTATTTGTATGTTCGATAATCAACACTATCAATTTTTTAAACAATTAGCTGAATTTCGAGCATCTACATATCTATTTCTATTGTTTTCTGTATTTCAATCAATTTTTCGACTTATGTCAATTTATATTGAAACTTATATTCAAGACGTTTTCCTACAAGTATCAACATTACTGATAGTATCGATAATGACAATTTGATCTTGTCTTTTTTCAGCTTTTTCCAGATGTTATTTCAAGTGGGCTGAGTGTAAATGAATCCATTTACCCTGATATTATTGCAATGAAATTGGATTGCATACGTAATCGTATAATTTGTTTTTATAATGATCATAGGTAAGAACGAATTATGTTGAAGTACTATATATATGCTCATTTTGTTATTGATACCCGGGCACGACTACAACTCTGCTTGGCTATATTTGTTTTGTCGTTTTGTTTCATAAGAATTCGCTTTTATTTTTTTAAATTGAATGTGATATATTATTTACTAAACAGTATAAATTAGCTCATCCAACTACAGTTGACATATTCATGTTGAAATCATCTGATAAACATCATGATTCAGTCATATGAGTATCTTTCAAAGTTATTTACTAACATTTTCAGTTCAAACTGATCTCACTACTATATTGTTCACTAATTAATCAATATATATCATCTTCTGTATCTACATATACGTAGCTTGAAAACATTTTTCTAACTCAAGGGTTAATTCTTCAGGTATTTAAATTACCTACTTAAGCCTGTTACCCATCATGGAGGAGCATAGGCTGCTCACGAGCCTTCTTCATCCAACTCTGTCCTGGACAATTCTTTCCACGTTCTATTAATCCTTCACATGTCTCCTTCCAGTTCCCGACTCGGTGTGTTTGTCGGCCTTTTCAGTTCGCCTTCAGGATTCCAGGTCAGGACCGGTCTCGTGATAAAGTTTGATGGTTTCCACAATGTGTCTCGTATCCACCTTTAACCTCTTCTTGTAATTTTCTCTTCAGCTAGGATCAGGTTTGTTCTCTCCCTCAGTAGGTTGTTACTGATGGTATGTGGCTGATGGACATCGAGTATCTTGTGTAAACAACTGTTTATAAATACTTGTACTTTGGTGATGATGGTTGTGGTATTTGAGCACGTTTCATCTCCGTACGATCGAACTGTTTTGAATGTTCGTATTGAAGATTGTTACTTTGATGTTGGTTTATAGACAGTTGTTCTGAATTCCATATGTCCCCTGGTTTGTCGATTCTTGCCTTTATGTCTGCATCAGATCGTCCTTGTTCATCGATGATGCTACCCATATACGTGAAATTTTACACCTCTTCCAGAGTTTCTCCATCAATTGAGATAGGGTTGTTTGGTGTTGTATTTGGTGATCTTTGTTTTTCGGTTGTGTATGTTGAGGCCTACTGTTGCAGAGGCTGCTGCTGCTGCTACACTAGTTGTGTTGATCTGCATTTTTGGTGTGTATGGGATAGAAGATCTAGTTCATCTGTGAAATCCGAATCTTCTAATTGATTCCGAGTTGTCCGTTGTATTCCATGATTCCCTTGAGATGTGGAGATCTTCATAATCCAATCGACTATTATAAGAAATAGAAAATTAGAGATTAGGCGGCCTTGTTTGATTCCGGTTTTCACTTGAATGTATCTGTTCGCTGTCCTTCATGCTCGACTTTACACTGTAGTCCATCGTATGAATTATGTATGATGTTGACGATGTTCTTATGTCCTCCATAGGGACTCTCGTCCTCCTGGATCCCTTAACGATCGGTCGTGCACATACGAAATCGCGACGCTACAGATCATTGTTGAGCAATCAGTTGAGTCGAAGCTTTCCATATTACACACTTTTTCTCTCGTGTTCAGGTTGCTGTATGGATTTGGCCTGGAGTTATTAGAAGAGCTTATGAAACCGATTCAAGCGTTCAGTTGGAATATGTATCACTTGAAACCTCGATAATCGATAATACTGTGTTTGGTAACATTTCTATGTGTCAGGTGGTCATTAAATATCCTTTTTTCTTTATTGTGGCTTAGAATTCTATGGTTTGTTGAAAATAGGTTTGAATTATTCTCTAAAATCTGATAATGATTTCATAGGAAAGTTTTGTTTATTTTCACTGGTAATTTTCGTCATGGACTGACATCAATTGAGGCTAGTCTTCTAGTTTTGGACACTTTAGCAGTGACTACCCATAAAGCAAAAAAAGACTGAATTCTGGGCGTTCTGTTTGATTATCGTTTAAATCATTAAATTAATTCAATCAAACCTAAATAAATTGAACAGTAGTCGTTTTGACTAACTACTTTTCAAAATTTGTAATTAATTTACATCTGAAGTAGTATAACTACCAGGTGGGGTAGGGAGAAAATAATCTTGACTTCATTTTATCTCATCATAATTGTGTTATAGGGTGGTACATTTATTACATGTTTTGAAATTAATTGAACAGATGTTTGATTATAATTATATATAATGGATTTACGTCGTCGAGATCCAAATATGACTTAGATGTGTATCAAGGTTTGACTGTTAACTAATCGTTAATATTTGAATTATGATCAGAATGGGTTTTGCGGAGGTTGTAGTAATTTTAATAATTGATTTCATGAGTTAGACCACCATTGAAAACTTGGAAGCACTGGACGGCCGTTTTGTCCTAGTATGGGACTTTTCAGAAGTGCACCTCCACAATCACGCACGTGGGATTCGAACCTAGGATCTTTTGCCTCGCGCGCGAACGCTTAACCTGTAGACCAGTGATCCGGCATCCAACGGTGTTAATGTTTAACCTTCATCGATCCATGAACAGTCGGTTGATTATTCATCTTGTGTCTGAGTTAAATACCTTTCTCTACCCGACATGTATTGGACTCCACTGGTCAACTATTAAAATATTTGGATTCACTCTTTTTTATAATTTGTGAATTCAGGAGGCAGCTTCGAAGGGGGTGGTATTTTTCACAGTCCTAATAATTTGATTGATTGTTTGTACAGATTATTGATTGTGTCGTTTGTATTTTGTTATTGTTGTCACAAGTTGGTAACAGTCGTTGAAGGAGTTTGGAGTCAACTTCCCCTGGCTTATTTTATTTTAGTTGTGTGCCGAAAGTTAGGCAAGAGACTAGAATAAGGGTAACCTTGAATGATTCAAAATAACTGTAATGAATTTTAGCCCACAGCTAACCAATCAAGGATCAGCTAATTGATGTGAATGGCTTATATGTTATAAAATAATATTAGAAAGATTTACTATTAATGGATTTGTTGTAGTTTTCCATTAGTTTTTCTGTCTGGAATAGAAATAAATCTTTCATTATTATTTTAAATGTTCTGAGGACTATAATAGGTTAATTCTGCTGCTCTCTATTTGATACAATGTAAAGGTCGTTTTTTTGAAGTTCCGGGTGAAAAGTCAAAAGTCATCTTCTTTATTCTTATCGATCAATCACTATACATTACTTTTACCGGAATTTATGTTCTCTAACTTTGGTCTCTTGTTAATAATAAGCACAAAAATTGCTTTCATTGTTTCCTGACGGTCGATTCTAATTACCTAATCATCAAATGTAAGCTCATATTAACGAAGATGTCTTGAACTTGTACTGAAACTGTACCCGTGTGTAACTGAGATAATAAATTGATCATACTCATGTAACGTACAAAACTCCCAGAGTTTCGGTTGATTTTCTGTATAGCCTGGATAAATTCAGTGACTTTTATTCACTCCAAGTGATATTGAAGCACAATTGTTGGATGTTAACTACGTTACCAATTAAGCATAAACATAAATATAGAATTATAAGCAAAGATGGATAGTGGCTAGCAGTGGAACCAAGGACGCACGTTTCGTCCTTTTCGAGACTCGTCATCTGGATGTACCTGCATCCCAGGGTTTATGTTCACTGCGGGACTCGAAACCTGTTCCGTCCGCTTCAAACGCCATCACGTTATCCACTTAACTAAATAAAGATTATACAAAATATCTGAAAAGATTTACTTTTAGAATATGCGGCCAATGTTCTGTACTGAAAATCTTATACAACTAAAACTGTAGTACATCAAGTAGATAAATCTACTAAAAATACAAAAATGTAGTTACTTACTAAAGAGATAATGAGTTCCTGACAAGTAGGAAATGTAATTCTGTCAACAAGTCAATTAAATCAAAAGCTGACAGCCATAGTATTGCAAATCAATATGAAAACCACCAATATTCGGGGATGAGTATAGCAAACTTTAACAGCAAACAAATGTTTGAAGGAACCAATATTATAAAGAAAAAGAATAGTAATAACTTCACAAGGACCATACAAAACAAGCATAAACATACTCATGCTTGAAATTTTCAAATGCTTTCGCTAAAGATTTACATCATTCTCAGGAATGAAGATTAACAGATTGTGACAGACGTGAATCCCACACATTTTAGCATTAATCATAAACATGTTTTAGCATTAACATTTAGCTTGTATCATCCACAGCACAAGTAATATCAGCAGCGTTTCTTGATCAATTCAAAATGTGAAAATATATGTTGATGGAAATAAAAATATGTGTGACATCTATAAAAGTTATGTGGTAAAAAGTGTTTCACTAATCATACAGTAAATACATGGATAATTGTTCCCGGGGATATCTTCTCAATATGAATCTACATACCTATAAAATTTTAAACATTTCTATATTGTAAATTATATATGTTGTTCTAAATCTCCATGCATAAAGTAATATGGCATAGAGTCTTGTCATGATTTCAACTCAATTCGTATCATTTGTGATTGACTCCTTTATATGGTAGAATGTCTATATTGAACTTCATTACTTACTATACGTAGAAGATGATTTGAAGTTGATTTATTTTCCAATTTCCTTCACATAAAAAATTACCCTACGTCATGCCAACTTGCAAGTTTTTCATGTCTTATAATGTGATCTATGTCTGTTTACATCAATTACAGACACGCCTTAGTGTTAGGTGTTACCTGGTATAGTACCTAAAACTACAGCTCATCTCTCATTATCTGTAATTGCTTGATATTGTTGCATCTTATTGTAAATATGTTTAAATATCATTGAGATATTTGATAATTGCTTTTTCTATCAGATAAATGGTTTTCTCTCTCAGATATCTATTGTTAAATTAAGACATTGCAGCTGATGGAATGAATGACAGAATATCCGATAATTGGTTTTCATTCAATATTTCAGTTGTTTTTGCATATCTTGTAACATATATTGAGCATGAAATACAATGTTGACGTGTTATTCACTGTTCTCCTTTTACACAATCTCTATTAATTTGTAGCCATTTTAGTAAGAAAGCGTTAACACCCTTTTTATTAAATTTCATCTAGTAACAAATGATTAATATACTTGAAAAAAAAATTATAAAAACTTTCTGTTTGATGATGGTATGTCGTGTCAACAACTGATTGTGTGTTGTGAGCTACTAATGTCGACATATAATTAGTATGCATCATCAATCGAAAGCGGAATGCGTAACAGCAGGGAATCGAAGAGAAGAGAAGGGGACATAGAGTGATTGATATGGAAACTAAGGAACAACAAGGTCTCGGTTAATTGATGGATATTTTGCAAATAAACTATTTACTATATGGTTCTCAGATTTTACTAAGATATTTTGTAATTGTTCTATTAAAATATATTTGGTTGTACGCGCTATTGTTATCGTTAACTAAAATTGTGCCTCTGAAATTTGACTTCAAGATTTGTTCAATAAATCTTCCTTTCATCGATCAATAAGCGTACTTCCAAAAAATCTTAATGCAATACTGCTGACTTTGTTTCAACCTCTTACATATATCGTATTTAAAAACCTACTTCCTTATACCTGCTACCAATCATGGAGGAGCAAAGGCTTCTCATGAGCCTTCTTCATCCAACTCTGTCCTGGGCAATTCTTTCCAGTTGTTATTGATCCTTTACGTGTCTCCTTTCAGTTCTCGACGCAGTTTGTTATTTAACCTTCCGCCTCTCCTTTTCCCTTCAAAATTCCAAGTTAGTGCTCGCCTCGTGATGCAGTTTGGTGATTCTCTCAATGTATGTCCTATCCACCTCCAGCTTCTTTTCCTAATTTCCTCATCAGCTAGGATCAGGTTTGTTCTCTCCCTCAGTAGGTTGTTACTGATGGTATGTGGCTGATGGACATCGAGTATCTTGTGTAAACAACTGTTTATAAATACTTGTACTTTGGTGATGATGGTTGTGGTATTTGAGCACGTTTCATCTCCGTACGATCGAACTGTTTTGAATGTTCGTATTGAAGATTGTTACTTTGATGTTGGTTTATAGACAGTTGTTCTGAATTCCATATGTCCCCTGGTTTGTCGATTCTTGCCTTTATGTCTGCATCAGATCGTCCTTGTTCATCGATGATGCTACCCATATACGTGAAATTTTACACCTCTTCCAGAGTTTCTCCATCAATTGAGATAGGGTTGTTTGGTGTTGTATTTGGTGATCTTTGTTTTTCGGTTGTGTATGTTGAGGCCTACTGTTGCAGAGGCTGCTGCTGCTGCTACACTAGTTGTGTTGATCTGCATTTTTGGTGTGTATGGGATAGAAGATCTAGTTCATCTGTGAAATCCGAATCTTCTAATTGATTCCGAGTTGTCCGTTGTATTCCATGATTCCCTTGAGATGTGGAGATCTTCATAATCCAGTAGACCAACCCTTCATCAATTCTAGGAAGTGGATACCTGTCTCTACACAACACGGACCGGAGTCGACTGGTCACGTCTTCTCACTAGAACTCCAAGAAATCCATTCTAAAGCTAGTCACTAATGAGCACGTGATGATTATCGGTATAGGATTGTGGAGATTTTCGAGTTTAGATTGATATCATGGCCAGTTGAGTTCGTCCGTGTCTGTTGTGAGGTAATTACTCACTGATGACAATAGTGGACGGTTGCGCAATGTCGTGGATTTGTCCATGTTAGACATTAACACTGTTTGATGCCGGCTCAGTGGTCTAGAGGTTAAGCGTTACCGTGCGAGATCGAAGATCCTGGGTTCGATTCCCATGTTCGGGATCATGGGTGGACACTTTTGCGTAGTTCCATACTACGGCGAAGCGGCCGTCCAGTAATTCCAGGTTTTCAATGGAGGTCTAATATTGATCCACTCATGAAGTCAATCTAAACTCAACAACCTCCGCAACTCTATACTTACTAATTTTATCCGTGATAATTTTTTTAAAATAGAGATAAATAATGACTTGAAAACATTCAACAAAAAATTGCCTTTTTAGCTTTGTTTCTTCAAGTTTGTTCAAATGAGTACAATTAATATTTCCGCTCAAATGTTTGTCATTATTTTGTTCATTCAAGTATTCATGTGTGGGATATACATGACCTAACAACAATTAATAAATGTCGATCGCATTATTACCATAGTCGAGGTATTTGGTCAGTGGATTGTTTACCGGAACAATGGCGACAGAATAATAATAACATCGATAACAATAATAATACGATTCCATTAAGTCATCTACCATCTTGGTGGTCAAATGATATGTTTGTCACATGTTCTGATGATGGGACTATTCGATTTTGGAATCTTCTTGCAAATTGTCAGTCGACAACAAATAATGTTACTGATAATGGAATTAGATTGTCAACAAGTGTTCCAGCTAACTCAGAATTTATAGGATCTACAACGTTCGAGTGTACTGAAGTAAGTGAATGCATGATTTCTTAAAAGTATGTTTTAATTGAAAAAAAACAATTATACAGTGATTTTGATTAGTAGTTATTATTCTGCCATCCACGTAGCAAAATAGGTTACGTTGCTTTGATTCAGCTAAACTCTGTGTTATAATAGATCTGTCATGCATTTAAAGTTTGTTTTTCCTATAAAGTTTGTCAACCATCTTTTCTGTCAGATGTTCTTCTTTCATTCATTATTAATTGTTTTTATCTATTTCGTTGAATACCGTTGAGAAAGTTAGTAAAAAAACAAAATATTCCAAAGTTTATTGATTTCTGTCCATTCTTAATGAAGTTGCATAAAACAAATTGGCTTTATCTATTATTATCCTCTATAGAATATCTTAAATGGACCATAATAATATCAAGGTATTATATATATATATATATATATATATATATATATATATATATATATATATATATATATATATATATATATATATATATATATATATATATATATCAACTAATTCTTTCTTCCTGTACTTTGGCGTCGGTGTATACACTTTCTGTCTTTTCTTTGTATAATCTTATTAAAAAACTTTACAATTGAATTTTATCCATAAATTTACTGTAGTTGTTGATTTGTGACAATGTTTCTTTTAAAAATTTTCTTAAATTTCTATTCTGACCGAATAAAAAGGTGCTCGTGATTTTTTTTCAAAAAATTTTTTTATTTATAGTATTGATAATAACTAATCTGGTCAAACGTTTTCCAGTTCAAATCAATAATATGTCAACACATTTACTGAAGTTGTATTTCAGCACACATTACAAACGTTCATATAGGTCATATGAATGGATTTCAATATTCATCTATATTATGGTTGATAGTTGTGAAGCAGTCTTTTTTTTACAGTAAAAACTACCATTCGGTCTAAGCTAGAACACCATTGAAAACCTGAAAGCGCTGAATACACGCTTCGTCGTAGTATGTGATTCCTTATCAGTGCGCATCCACGATCTCTCACTCAGAACTCGAACCCAGAACCTTCAGTCTTGCGTGCGAACGGTTAACTTCTAGATCACCGAGCCGGCATTCCATACTAGGACGAAACGGCCGTTCAGTGCTCCTAGCTGTTCGGTGGTGGTCTAGTTTAGATTGACTCGTTATTTCGACTGTGAAAATACTACATTCTCCATAAATCACTTTACTGATAAGGATTTTTTTCCTATAACAAGCAGCAATGGTCTATCACATCATTAACCAAGGAGTTCAAAGATTTTGAATAAATAGTTTAAAAGGTTAAAGAAAGAAACACTAGAATCAAATAAAATATGTATTTTCGAAAAAATAGTTATATAAACATAACATTGTTTTATACATTTTTATCGATTATTATTACAGAGGGCCTGACCGTTGTTGCTACCTTGACGTGGTGGTCGGGCTTGCCTATCGTGATGAAGCAACTGAGCTATACTGGCTGGAACAACCGTTCCTCAAGGTCCTACCATGCCAGACAGGTCGGTTAAAGAGCGGTAAGACTAAAAGCAACAAAACCAAGGTCCGAAGGCGAAGTCGTACTGCTGACTGTACAGAGGTGTGACAGCAGTAAGGTGTTTCCTTCAGACAACCAGCATAACAGCGATGCTGCCTTCCCAAAAGGAGGGGAGGGGTTAGAAAAGGTCGACCCTAAAAATACACACCTCGCCTTATCCCATGGATATCCGTCTCCGGCGGTAAGGTCTCAACAAGTACGGGGCTAACACAAAAATTACTCATAAAAAGGTCGTGTGTGACCGACCTCAAGCAGCCGTCCCTTGGGCACTGCGGTCACGCTCTCAGGTCACTATGACCACCTCTAATCCAATTTCCTTTTCAGGTACCTCCAGCAGAACCCTTCCACGGTGTAGGCAACCGGAAAGTGATAACCGCCCTCATACCTCTAACAGCACTCAAGACCACTGTATTCATAATCAACCTACCTCTTCAATTCCTATTATTCCTCTTACATCGACTTTCAAATCTAAACTTCTTCTTTTGGCTTCCTCCTGAAGTGTCACCACAGCCAACAATTCTAGTGCGCAAAACACTGTCCCAGGTCTACTGAAACCTCACTCCAAACTACACATTGGAGCCTTCAACGTACGCACACTATGCCAAATCGGTCAGCAGGCTTCCTTGGCTAAAACCTTAGAATCTCGTACCATTGATGTATGCTGTGTCTCCGAAACACGCATACAGGATCCTAGTGTGGTCATTCACTTGACCTCACCTCGGCAAAACGGAGAGCCGACGAGATACACCCTCCGTGTATCTGGTGACCCGATGGCTAGTTCTCGTGGACTGGCAGGTGTAGGCATAGCACTTAGCATGAGGGCGGAACAAGCACTATTAGAGTGGATCCCCGTTAACAGTCGTCTATGCGCTGTTCGGCTAAACCGCTCCGTAAGAAATCGGAAGGATAGGGACTCACGTTGTTGCCTTTTCGTCGTTTCTGCCTACGCTCCCACTGACTGCAGTTCGGATGAAGTGAAAGATGGATTTTACAGAAAGCTGTCTGAACTTCTTCAGAAAGCTAAACGTTCAGGCATAGTACTCGTAGGAGGCGACTTTAATGCCCAGGTAGGTAGCTTAAACGAAACAGAAAGACATTTAGGTGGGTATTTTAGTATTCCGGCACAGAGAACAGATAATGGTGATCGTCTGCTGCAACTGTGCTCAGACAATCGTTTATTTTTAGCAAACACAAATTTTAAGCATAAGGAGAGACATCGTCTAACATGGCGACCCCCTGCACCAAACCAACGATGGACGCAAATAGACCATATTGCCATCAGTCATCGTTGGAGAGGGTCGATAGAAGATTGTCGCTCATTCTGGAGTACCTGCTTGAACTCCGACCATGCCCTAATACGAGCACGCATCTGCTTGCGCCTCACTGGACGCAAAAAAGCCACACAAAAAAGACTCATTAGAACTGAATTGAGTAATGAGAAAACCAAAAGTAGGTTCTAGGAACAACTGAGGTCACACTTAGGTAGTTCTGAAAACAAGGCTGACCCAGATGTTGCTTGGAAAGACATACAAGTAGCTGTGGAAACAGCAGTGACATCTACTAGTGATTTAAACCACAGGGTTACAAAGAACCAATGGATTTCTTCAAGATCTATTGCACTGATAGATTCTCGTAAACTCATCCCATCAGGTTCTGAACACGATGAAGAGCGTAAAGAAATCAGATCTAGGTTAAGCAATGGTGGGAAACGAAAGCAAAAGAGATGGAAAAGGCGGCGGCTATAGGGAACACAAGACAAATCTACAGACTTATAAAAGAAACTGAAATTAATAAATCAAGTGTAAGTCAGACTATTTCGGAAAAAGACGACACTCTCATCTGCTCCCAGTCCAGACGTTTAGAACGATGGGCGGAACATTTTAAGGAGCAATTCAGTTGGCCTTCAGCTACTCTACAACTACCCTCCATTCCCAGACAGTGTGAATGGAACATTGAAGTAGGTCCCCCAACTCTAGCTGAAGTTCAAAAGGCTATAGCTAATCTGAAACGAAGAAGGGCAGATGGATTGGCCCCAGAGGTCTTTAAGGATGGTGGTCTAGTCTTAGCGATTAGGTTGACTAATATTTAAGCTAAAATCTGGGAGTTAGACGTTATTCCATCTAACTGGTCACAATCACTTATCGTCCCAATATTTAAGAAAGGGTCAAAATCATCCTGTGACAACCACAGAGGGATTAGTTTGACTAATATAGTATCTAAAATACTAGCTTCGATAATTTTCGGACGCCTAACTAAAACTCGTGAGCTGCAAACACGTGAAAATCAGGCTGGCTTCAGACCTGGTCGTGGCTGCATCGACCACATATTCACCATTCGTCAGGTTCTAGAACACAGGCATACTTATCGGCGTCCGACAATAGTGGTCTTCCTTGATTTAAACGCAGCGTTTGACTCTGTTGACCGAGAGGTTCTGTGGCAGTGTCTGTCATTGAAAGGCGTACCTCAGAAGTACATAAACATTGTGAAGGCTCTTTACTCGAACACTACTAGTCGGGTCAGAGCCTATGGCGAACTGTCATCTGCTTTCGCAACCTCAAGTGGCGTCCGTCAAGGCTGTCCACTTTCTCCTTTTTTGTTTAACTTTATCATAGACATCCTGATGGAAATAACGCTCTCATCGACTGAATTCTCGGGTATTGATTTCCTACCAGGAGGTCCACTTATTGACTTAGAATACGCAGATGACATAGTCCTGTTTGGTGAAGACGCTGATAAAATGCAGTCTTTTGGTAGCACTGAGCAACAATGCCAGAATGTTTGGGATGCGCTTCTCTCCCTCTAAATGCAAGTTGTTGCTTCAGGACTGGTCTGCGTCAACACCTGAACTAAGGATAGGGGTGAAGTAGTCGAACGCGTTGACAACTTCACTTATCTTGGAAGTCTGATCAGCCCTAATGAGTTGGTGTCTGACGAAATCTCAGCACGGATTCGCAAAGCTCGCTTGGCCTTTGCCAACTTACGTCATCTATGTCGAGGGCGAGATATTCGTCTATCAATTAAGGGACGAGTATACTGCGCGGCAGTTCGTTCCGTTCTACTATACGGCTGCGAAACTTGGCCTTTAAGAGTAGAAGATATTCGTAAGTTACTAGTATTTGACCACAGGTGCCTTAGAAATATTGCGGGTATCTGCTGGGATCACCGGGTAAGTAATAGTGAGGTTAGACGCAGGGTATTAGGGAATGATGGTAAATCAGTTGATGAGGTTATGAACCTTCATCGACTGAGATGGTTGGGCCACGTGCTGCGTATGCCTGAACACTGATTACCACGACGCGCAATGCTGACTAGTGCAGGGGATAATTGGAAGAAAGTTAGGGGCGGCCGAACCAAAACGTGGCATCAGTGCTTGAAGTCACTAACTTCTGGTCTGAGCCATGTTGGTAGATGCAGACTGCCTGGTTGGGGTCTGCGTGACTATCGTAACCAATGGTTGGAGACTCTTGGTGACATGGCTCAGAATCGATCACAATGGCGTCGGTGTATACACTCTCTGTCTTCCTTTAAACTAAGAGATTAAAATCACTTCAAATCTTTCTTTCTAGGAACTAATTCTATCTTCTCGTACTATATCCTTATACACACTCTTTTTTCTATATATTACCACCACTGAATTAACTACTTCTATGAATCCGGTTTTCATCTTGTTGTGCTAATGCGGTATGGCAACTTGGACCGATGCATATACGTTCCTGGTCCTACGTTGCAGCTGACCGACAGTCAGAGGGTTTACATAACTTGTATCCATTTATGTCATATTATATAATATTGGTAGTAATCCATCAATCAACATAAACTCTCGTGACTATAATTATGAATGTTAAAAATAAACTAACTAATAATTTCTATTTCCCCACTTTTTTGATTATTCAGTAATAGATTTATTTAATTTCGGTAACTATAATAAATTTTTTATCGAGATGCTTCGATACGTTTACAAAGGTAATAAATAGTGGTCATGTCTCAGACTGTAAAGCTGGATGATTCGGGTTTGAATTCCACAGGGAGCATTGATTCCCCGACGATTTCCGGTTACACTTTATGGACGATTACCAACTACCACCAAATAGTTGTCTAGGGGTTCTTATTAACTATTACCACTCATTTCATATTTCTATATGCTGTCTATTGTTACAAGTTAATGATGTTTTAAATAGTGCCTTTGATGATAAAGTGTTTATAGAGATTTATACAAAGGAAGAATGATATTATTTACAGAATATAACTTATTCATTGTAATTCATTGCTTTCTCTTGAACTACATAGAAACTATTATGTTTGGTCACTTCCGATTTTTAACATAATGTTAAAAAATGAATTGTTAATCGATGCTAAATTAATTGTGTAATATGAAGGAAATTAAGAGTTGAAGTTTTGATACGAGGGTGGGATACTTTTTGTAATTACTGAAGGTAATAGTTCTAGAATATTTACTCAATTTCATTACACAATGTAACAAAATTTTGTAAATTAAGTAAGGAAAAGAAAGTATGTGGACAAATGAAGCTGACAAAACCTTTAAATACATGCATTTATAGACACGTGGTCATCACAACAGGCTGATTAAACCAGCTAACTTTTGCATGTAACGTTAAAAACTGCTATAAAATCTACTTGTACAGTTCTAAACCTTCCTTAGCCATTTCAATTTACTTTTTGTTGAATAAATGGTGATTGTTTTACTGTTTATTTTAGCAACTTGCTGGCATTATATACACTGATCCAAGTCACAAATATCTATGTACTAATGATCGTTCTTCAAGTAAGTTCCACATATGATTTCAAATTTGTGTTTCTGTTATTTAAAACTAAACTAAGCGGTTTTGTTTAAAAATTGTTCAGTGGTACAATTTAGTAATTGTTGATGATTGAGATATTGTATCTTAGAAAATGAAATATCTATTTCATCATAGTGAATATATATTTGTTCCTTCAAAATCCATCTTTTTATAACATCTCAGTTCTGTAAAGGGTTATTTGCTCCCTTTATAGCTCAGAGATAACATCTCAAACTCTGAAGCTGGGTGGTGCGGATTCGGGTTCCACATGGACCATCTGTCGCTCCAGGTTTACGGGTACACTTTGCTGACGGGTATCAAATAACACGGCAGCTAAGTTCATGGTTTTCTTTCAACAACCTTCAATCGTCTAATACAATGAAAAACTAGACAACTGTTTCATTCTAGTTCAACCTTTCTTGTTATATCAAACCTACGACAGTTTTACGAATGGATCTAACTTCAAACTACTGAACTGGGAATTCGCTAATTTACATTTTTAACTTAATCAGATTGCGTCATAGTTCGATATACATCCCATTTCACCGGTGATTTATTTTTCCACTCCCGATTTGTTTGACTCTAAAAAGGTATATCTTCATTTTAATGAAGTTAGGAAATATAGGTCATTGAATATCCCTTACTGTCTATTGTAATTTCATGTTCATTTGTATTGGCCGTTTTAATTTTCCCGTTGGTATTTCAGACTGTAATTGATTAGTCTCTTTATTACACATGTACATCCTTTGCGGTTTGTCTTGATATTGTCATTAAGTCACAAGCATTATGAGCAGAGATGGATGTTTTTTTCTTTTTTTTTCTAATAAGGTGATTTTCTTTGAAGTTAGTTGTATAACCAATTTATTGTGAATAATTATTTACTTATGTGACAGTTTTCAATTTTTTGAAGTTCTTCAGTGCATCACTGAATCTTTTTAGCCATGAGGAAAAAATGTTTGCTCAATCCTTGGTAAATTGTATCGGAGGATATTGGCTTACCGATGCATACGATCCTCCTGTATACTTGGGTTCTCTAAAAGTCTTGTTTTATTTTCTATCAATCAAAGCACCCAGGAATGGTTTTCTTTAGTAGTTTATGTCTGCCTTCGTTTCCTTTAAAATTTAAATTTCTCGATTGAGAATAAGTTGTGAAATATTAATTAACCATGAGATTAATTTCAAGTTTCCGTTATAATATGAAGGAAATCGGAAATTATGTCATTGATTACTCACTGATAGCATTAGCTATGACAGTCGCAGTATATCAGTATTTAGTTTAATTTTGAATTATATAAACGGTTAATTACCTACTTAATGGTCTTATGGTATTGTCACACGGTAATTGTCTCAAAGTAACTGACACTAATTATAATGAAGTTCTTAGGTCTCATTACTTATGGTTTTTATCGGGGACACTAGCGCGCAATCGATCCTAATGAATGCTAGTTAAGGTGTATCCCTAGTCCTGTAAGCTTGTTTGACGTAATCCTGTTCAAGCTGTAAAATGAATGAATTAAATCTTACTTTGTTATGGTAACTTGCTCGTCTATTGCTATTTTCATCCCAGAGATAGATAATTTTGTCTATTTTCTCTTTTGTTTGTGTTGGTTCTCCCTTTCTCTCTCCTCAATCAATCACTCATCCATCCATTCACTTGTTCCATTTTTTATAATCCTCCAGTTGAAATTACCTTGTCTAAATTAGAAGGTAAATCATATAGATATTTATGCATATATATGTGTGAAATTTTATTTACATATACATACCTCTGTGTTTATGTTTATATGTGTAAAAATGTATCCATGTGTTTTTCTTTTGCAATCTCAGTTCATTTCGCATGATATTAAGCTTATTTATATTTTCATCGCTTTTTTTCCAATGCATGTCTGATATATATATCTGGCTGACCCATCACCATGATCATTTGCACATATGCATTGATTGGAATATCAAGTTAATGAATTATTGACCACTACTGTTTTTGTATTCATTTCATATCATTTTTAAGTTGAGGTACCTGTAGGGAAGCCTGTGACCTGTTTTCTTGCGATTCATCAGTGAATGTCTGTATAGATACTTTCATTTGAATATCACCTTTTTCCACAGGGACATCGAAACCTGAAATCGTCTCTGATGGAAATCAACCTAATAACCGTCAATAATCAAAGATAATTGAACATTTTTATTTCGTCCTGGGGTCTCACAACGGTGTAATCCACAGTCCCATATATTTAAATCATACGACAAAGTGTTCGTCAATGTCAATTATAAACATTTTTAATTAGAAAACAAAGTTTCTATCGTTTATGGATAGATTGAATCAATCAAGAAATTGATCATTAGAGTATAGGGTGAAGTAAAGCAAAAAACTGTCACATTTAGCAAAAATATGCAAAATAGAATCAATGGTTTAAAAACCTAGGACAAAATAAAAGGGATTTGAAGTTGAACCAAAAGATGACCATAGTACACATTAATACAAAGAGTTAAAGGAATAACGTTTTTTCAGTGTGAAACAAGAGAAGTCTCTTTTACCACACACTTAAATAAGCAGACACATATATACATACAAAAGGATTCTACACGGGTGTCCAAAATCCCTCCATATGACACGAAAACACCCTAGTCACTTTCAGTTACGGCTTCTCTAGCTAACTTGCCGATGTCACTGGAGGGTGTAGGATTTACCCTAGTACGCCTATATACATACTCTCTTTATGCTACGGTGTCACAAAATATTCAAACATAAAGAAATCATGTTTCCTATATTAAACAAGGCAAATTAAATAATCTCTCCCAATCTCACCAACTGAATTTTCAAACACACGTCGTTTTACCCCATCACTAACTTAAAGAGTATAATTACCAAGTAGGGCAGTTGTGTATCGCTTTATCATAGCGTGCTGCTACAATACATCTATACGTACAATATTCATTGGGTAATCTTGACATTAACATTACCAGTAAAATCAACTGAGTTACTAACCATTTTATAAAGTAGTCCATAATATGTAAAAGTTTATACAAACTAATACATAAAGTGATGTGAAGTGGCCTTCCATATCACACAATAAATAAGTATCAACCCAACACTTTTAATCCTCAAATGATTTTTCCAGTTTTTTCTTCTCTATTTAGTTTGACTAAATCACACTTATAATCACTTCTAATACAATCAAAGCGTAGCAGTCAATTTTATTACCAAGCCTAATATCACTGTGAGGGTAAAGCCATTCAGTGTAAACGTATCGAATGGGTCTTGCTGAATAAGCGTAAAGTCTTCCTGGAATTCCATCTTTATGTGGTTCATTTTGATCGTAATTAAATTCCTTTTAGTCATCTCAGTTTCGAAAAATATCCCTTCATTGTTATTGCTGTACCACCTGTATGTTTTACCCTTTATCATTTTCATTGTCTTCAAGTATCAGTGTTTGTTTTTTTGCGTACATTTCTATTAACATTTAAACATGTGCACATATCCATACTTTTATCAGATTTATGGTTGTCCAGTCCCATAAATCTCCACATTTTGGATTTACGGGTAACATTAGTGTTCGGTTTCTCTGTAAACAATTATATGAATCATCAATTTATTTATATTCATATGTGTGCATTTTGGTGCTGATTCATTGATGCCTGTCTCTAACCTTATCCACCTTGTTTTACAGATAAGCTGATACAAACTATCTGTAACTAAAATCTCTTCTGTTATATGAACAACTAAAAAGTATGAATAATTACATGCGAGCAGGCGAGATAAAGAAAAAGATAGAAAGATGAGACTTAACTGACCAAAAACTAAAATACAGTATTGTAGTTTGAATCGTTCAACTCATTGAAATTCACTGAATAAAAAGAAATAGGCAATTTACTTGTTCCTATAGTTCTTTTAGATGATTTGACGTTCTTATGTTTAATCTCACATAGCAGATCGACAATCCGATTTTTCTTGACTCTTCACTAGGCGATCATGGAAACAGTTCTTTTTGACTACTATGGTACACCAATTTGACTGTCACCGAGTTTTTATTATCTTACAGTCTCTTTGAGTCATCTGAAAGACTTTATTAAGAAATAATGACTTTCATACTTTAGAAAAATTTACTTTTATCACAGCAAAAAGATCTACGCCACAGTAGCGTTAAAAACTCTTCACATCAGAATACATTTATCTCTTTAAAAATCAACAAAAATATTGATTTATTGATATTTATATTGGATAAGTGAACATTTTTAACTAAGAGTAATTTTTCTTTGAAAGATGACAGAAATTTTCACTTTATCCAAGTAATCAGAAGATGTGGGGAAACAGAATATACATATGATGAATTCGGATTTATCATTCGTTTTGTCTTTCTCAGTTTAAATCATAAACAGTTTTGTTTAAACTAACTTTATTGCTCACTAACTGTTTCGTTTTGTATTTCGAAAATCCGTTTCATGCAGTAAATTTGTTATAATCGCCATGTTTAACACAATATGATTCGTTCTGTGGTTAATGTTAAAATTGATGTTTTTAGAAATCTAAAAACAACTAGTCATCAATTACTACTGTCGGCTCCTTACAGAATCGAAATTTATCATATTTTGATTGGGCTCCTTATTGTAAATCAAACAGTTTTCGAAAGTACTCAAACTTTAGTCATTTCTCGTGAGCCATTACACTCGTTGCTTTGTTGTCAACGTAGTTGAATTTTTATGCCGCTAATTTTAATTAATAGTCAAATTGTATGATAGTCCTTGAAGTTACATTATCTATAAATCTACTTACGTGTTAAATCTAAAGCAGTTATTTTCAAGAAGTCGTAAAATATGGCGAAATTGTTCATAATTCTTTGCTTTCCATTCGTTCCGTAGCAGTCATTAGTTGACTGTAATGAACGATGCTTTTGGCATACCACCTACCTGAGTTAAATATACTTTGTTTTCTATAGTCATTATCAACTTTAAAGTATGATTCTACCTTTCCCTTTCTTCGATACTTTGAATTCCTCTTTTCATAGCATGACTTAACGCAATGTTTCACTTAATAACATGTGGTATGTAGTGTTGTCATGCCAATGAATATTTTAAGTTGAAAGTATATAAATGTATATGTGTATATAATATAATTATGAAATCTATATTCCACTCTTTGAATTTATTTGCATGTCCTCTCTTCGATGGCTTTGGTGAAGGTTTGTATACTTTTGATTTTTCATTTTTTGTGCTGTGACTACTTATATGCAAAAAGTACTACATTGGGGTTTCTAGAAATTAAATACAGCTTTGTTCCAGTTAAAGCTTGGTATTCTCAGCTTTAATATTTTCTAAGATCAATCAGTCTATGTTGAAATTGTGAATGATATAGATTTTATTGTTTAACAGTAGTTATCTATTGAATCGAAATTCGTAAATTGGAAGCACACACTTTAGGTAATCTCAATGCCCCTAGCGATATTTATATCAAACTACTCGGCTTCATGTTAATATCCCAATGGTTGATCACAGATAGTTGTTAGCGAGACATAGATTGGATTAAGGTATGTTCCATTTAGGATTTTGTTAGGGCAAGCTGATTGGCTGTTTTCCAAACAATCAGCGCTGGTGGAGACTTGGAGAAGACTAGAATCGTATGTAAAAATTATAAATATACTAACGTTTTTCTTATTGCGATTCCTACTCTTATCCAAATTTGTTATTTGGAATATAATTACGTTCCTTTTCAGCTGTGTTCTGATTTAGGAATTTGTTGGGTGAAGTAGTGCCCAAGAATACTAAACAATAAGAGTATCTGAGTCGTTCTAAGGAAATTTCTAACAATATTCAAAACGCTTTCACTATGGCATAGTTTAGTGAATCAAAAATACCTGGATTATTTTTGTATTTAAAACATTTGAGTATGTACTTGTACATAAATTACACACAAACACAATATTGCTCTATATTAACATGTAAAGAGTCATGACCTAACGGTAGATACAACTGTTTAGTTTTCAAATGTTTTCACTATTCTTGCAAACAAAACTAGTTTATTATAAATGTATAATTAGAAGTCAATAATTTCTGAACACTTTTTTCGCAAAAATATTAGTGAGTAAATATTTATGTATTGATTATTTCAAGAAAGGATAATTTTAAAGTACGGCAATTTCTTCACTTCATACATTTTTTTAATGATTGTCTCTGAGTAGTAGTAACCATGTTCCAGTTTATTTACTCAACTTCTTACCACAGTGCTTGTATAAAGACTAATAACACACTGTCTAACTGCGTTCAAACTAAAGTAGGCCAAGAGAAGTTTAAACTTGAAACTTACTAATTGAAACATTTCACAATTCATGTATTTGAAATAAATTCACTTGATAAAAACAGTAAAGAGAAAATCTCTTATTGTTTTTTTCTAGGTGGGATAGGTCTGTTAGGTGGACCAGGTTTTGTACCTGGTACAAATGATTTGGGACAAATTGATTCGGCACTTCAATCACCTGCATCACCATCACGTCCATCAATCAGTGAACATTGTCAGTTGATTTCTAGTTTAACGTCTTCACCTAATACTGTTGGTGCTAGTAATATTAGTAATACTAATATTAGTAGCAGTACTACTGCTACTACCAATATCGGACCAACTTGCGTTCGTACCATTTGTATAAGTCCTGATGGTCGTCATCTAGCAGCTGGTGATCGTGATGGTAGTCTACGGTACGTGCAGTTTAATGACAATATTTTTAGTTTTTGTAATTGTATATTTTGATTAATTTTTCAGGAGTATTTCATAATTATTTTGATCCTACCGTTGATCTAATGGACTTCAAGTGTCAGTCGCTTTTGACATATGTGCATTCTGTGCGGACTGCCTTGATATTGTCATTACGTTACAAGCGTTGGTGGCGTTAGATAACGCTAGCTGTGGGATACAGGACGCATTGTTCGTTCTATTTGACTCGTCGAGTGAATGTACCATCGCGCCAGTGTTAATTTTCACACCAAGACTCGGATGCTGTACTTGTGACTTAATTGCATTATCGACGATTCAATGAGATTTAAGTTTGTGGCTCTGGAATTCTCACGCGAAATCCGAATGCGATGGAGGTTGTGTCCGTAAAAACAACCCATATCTAGTTCTTAAGGCGCCTCAAATTGCTAAGTACATCTATTATGCGACCGTACAGTAAATGTAACATTGTATGTGCAAGAAGCGTCTTACTCCTTGTTCAGATTTTACCTGTAATGCTAATTACTGGTTAGGCATACTAGATTTAATTCAGTGTAGTCAAGTTTATTTGTGTGGTTAAAAAGTATTCTCATAGTTCAACCTCAACTGCCAAGCGTTATGCTACTTTTAATTCCTAATTTTATACCGTTTCGTGCACTTTGGTAAATAATTCATCATATAAAGGGTAGTTTATCATGTCAAAACTATTTATTTTGTGTAATTCCATTTGTTACAATGATAAATTGTTCTATAACTAGACACTTTTCCGATTGTCCAATGAGTCGTTGAGGACCGTTAGTTTAGTTTTACGGTACAGAAGTGTGTGAGTTGCGGGATAATCGATTGGAAATATGTAAAGCTTCAACGGGTATAGTTGCTGGTAGTATATAAAAAAAGATTAGCTGCTTCTAGATTCTACTGCTTTCGTTCAGTTTTCCTCGTTTGTTCTTTTTATTTTTCTTTACTTACTACTAATATATGATTATGTGTGTTCTGTGATATAATTCATTTCGTTAAATAGATGAAAACTCTTAATTTTATAATCATCTGCCTTTTAAACTTTCTACTTTCATTTGTGTAAACTTTACGAGAACTTCTTTTTAATATTCCTTTTGCATTAATTCATCATTTTGAAGGAGAAAAAATCCAGAATTGTTTGTATGAGACAAGCGAACATCTGTATGTGTGTTGGGTTTATTTTCGTTCTTCGTCTGTTCGTTTTGTTCGTATATAAATGAAGACGATTGTCGATAGTTTTATGTTGACATACATTGTGTTAGACGGTCGGAGGTAGTTAGCGGGAAATCGTAGACCTAGGTTTCTCGCTATCTGACACTCATCGACAAGTTTTCTTACGAAACCTTAACCCAATATGTCTAGCTTTATAGTCGTAGGTGTTACCATTGAGCTTTTTGGGTTGTGGTTTTATTTATTTAAACACACATAAGCATTGGTACAAAGAGGCACCAAATATATGTAATCCATAATTAATCATTCGGTTTGTGCGAGTACTGTAATACTTCCTGCGAGCCCAAATCAGTGAATGTGGTTTTCTTAGGGGGCACTCTCCGGCCCTTTAACCTACAGGTCTAAACCACAAGGCAGTGGAGCGATGTTGGGAGATGCAGTCCCTTGGTAGCCGTTGACCAACAATAGGTTCATACGCCATTTGCTTCGTCAGTTTTGTGTAGCTTATGTGCACCATTGATTTGGAATCAGGGTTCTTCAAATCCCCTAGGTGGATCCTCCATACCCACCAACTCTGTTAAAGCGCAGGAAATCCACTCAATGCCCTCAATTCCTCCTACAACACTTCTGTCGAGAGAAGACAATGAGTAGGACTCCCCTGGCAGTGGTTGTATACGCATGGCCATGTAAAGGCACTTTGAGAAGGAGAGCGAACTTTCTCCACCCTCAAATATACTAGGGGTGGGGATTGTGACTGACTTCTTGTAGTGTGTTTTTCATGGTCTCTGAATAATCGTTATAAGTATAATTTTATCGTGAATATCACGAATATTTCAAAAAATTGGCATTCACTATCGGATATTTGTTTGAGTAACTGTAGTAAGAACGATACTATGCGATGCGAAGCGAAATTGACGAGCGGTGGAGATGGCTGGTAAGCCAACTCCCCCTTAACAAAGAGTTAATCAATATTTATAAGACCACAAAAATAAATTACAGACATATGGTGAGTAATGGGTTAAGAAGTGTACACACGCCTACGCGCTCATACAAAGACAGTCAAAATTGATTAGCGAATAATTAACAAGGTCAAAATATGACTCAAGTAGAATGAATGGATTGAAATGTCCGAAAGTTAGAATAAGGTATATGTGCTTAACATAATGACAGGCACTACATAGCTCCCTTGTAGAAAATAGTACATTTGAAAAAATGTCTGTTTTCGAAAATAACACTTAAGTGATGTGTGGCTAACGTTAACAATAAGTAGCGTAAAAAATTGTACTATTAACGATGAGTAGTGTCACATAAGGGGTGAGTGTATTATACGAAAGTGTCATACTTATGTGAAAGAATACATGAATACCTTAAAGGCGCGGACAAAATGTTAATGTTGGCACGCAATTATAAGCAAATTAATAGGCGTACAAAAATTTAACATGCACTCATGTTGTGATTGTCTGAACGATGAAATAACAAGTTTGTATGAGTGATTTAAAATATCGTGAAAACAGTAATAAATCGTTTGTGGGTATGACAACAAAATAAATCGTGAAAATAAATAGAGTAGAATATGACAGAAATTGGTCTGTGATGCTGACAGAATAATGAAATATGAGTGTTCTGATGAGCCGCAGTGGAGTATGTAGCGTCGAGTAGCGATAAGTGGATTTGAATTTAGTACGCAGAGTCCCCATTCGTAGGATAATAATAGTCAAGTCGTGAAATGATAATTGCATCGACTGGTGATATTCGTTGCTGTACTACAATTGATAACAATCATTAAGTGCGAAGTCAGTGTAGGTTGTCGTTTGCGTTATGACAGATGCATTGAGTTATTGTTAAATATGTATTAGTAGAATGACCAGAGAAACAGAATAGTGGCTGAGAAGACGAGATACGTAGAGCTATATTCCTTTTTGGTCCTGAAGCCTTGATTGGTTTGTGTGGTGTGAGGGAGATGCGCTCGACCTCGTTTGTTACAATACCATACTTAAGGCATGATAAAAATACTAATACATATGATTAGCGATGGCGGCGTACGAGACTGACTTGGATAAGACGAACAAGAGTGTGTCTTTGAGAGACCAGCTCTAAACTCGATGTTCTGATATACGATGCAATGGGAATATAATAGTAATTGCAGTATTCGAATAACGTTTCGGGGTAATGAATGATGTGGCATGTGGTTATACATATAGACGAATAGATAAGATGAACATATTCGTTACCAAGCAGCTAGTTGTTAGAGGCATCCACAGACATAATAGGAGGCGATTTCGAAATGAAAAATGTATGGTATGAAAACATTAAAATGACCTCGACTAAGTGAATGAGTGTAATAATAGACCATAAATGACATGGAAAAATTGGAACGAACTCACTTAAAGCAGGAAAATTCTACGTTTTTGAATAATAAAAATATAATCCAATGAGTTTCGAATGTCATAACGTGGAATGGAATGTTCATAAATTGATAATTTGTTCGGTGAGTGATATGATTGCGTAAATGCCATAATTTAGTGTCAGCACGAACAAAAATAATAATTCCACATTCGTTCATAATATGATAATGTTATAATAAGCATATGATGATAATTTGAATCATAATGGAACATTCCGACAAATGGATCAATGAGAATAGTTGACATGTGGACAGGGTATCGATAAGATAATACGATTTGTGCATGTCCATGTCGTGCTGCACAGGCTTTGCTGAGTGCGTCGGATTAGAGATTGTGCTGGCTTCGCTGAATTTGTTCGTCGAAAGTCTGATGTGCAGAAGTTTCTTCATCGATGTAGCTTGCTGCGTTGCGTTCGTCGTTGTCGGCTCACCAATTTGTGGGAACTATGCGAAAAAAAAGCGAAGCAAAAATGACGCGCGGCGGAGATGGCTGGTTAGCCAACCCCTTTTAACCAAGCGTTAATCAATATTTATAGGCATACAAAAATAAATTACAGACATGTGGTGAGTAATGGGTTAAGAAGTGTACACACGCCTACGCGCTCATACAAAGACAGTCAAAATTGATTAGCGAATAATTAACAAGGTCAAAATATGACTCAAGTAGAATGAATGGATTGAAATGTCCGAAAGTTAGAATAAGGTATATGTGCTTAACATAATGACAGGCACTACATAACTGTCTTTCAAAATACTTTTTTTATCTGGCCGAATTTACAATCTCTTAGCATCAGTAAGATTAGTAGTATATTAAAAATAATAAATAAATAAGAAATCGCTATCATTTTTTTGATATAGATGTTTGCTGAAGCAGATTACTTTGTTATTTATAAAGCTTATGTAATAACAAAATCTCGAAATGTGTTTCATTAGGAATTTATAAAATTAATGATGAATATATTTTTTTAATTTATTGTTTCCAAAATCATTGTCTTAGGCATAAAATATTAGTCCATTGTATAATTAGCTTGTTCGAATATCTTATGTAATTTTAGATAATCAGTTAAATGATATTTTCTAAATGAAATTATGTAACAAACACATGAATTCTATTAATGTAGGCTATAAGAAGAAGAATTGTCATTTAGTTATAAGTATTCACAGAATTGGTATAAAACACCAATACTCATCATAAATCACATGTTTTCGAAAAAAATTTACAACTCTAATACATTTATGGGTGCTTGGGTCAGATTTAGATTTAACTGTTTGATAGGATTTACTTCCTTTCACTTCAGTATACTTTCATATTACATGTTTTGATTACTGAAATAAAAATTTAGTAATGAAAGTTAATAGAAAATAATTCCATTCAATCAATGATATTATTAATACTCTCTGGACTCAACAATCAATCTTATTATATGAGTTTGGAACTCTTACTTTAAAGTTGGATAAAGTTTCGTTTCAGGACATCTCTAATATGTATCTTGTTCTGTAGTAGCTATTTTATGCTCTTCTCAAAGACAGAACCAGAGAATGAAAATTAATGTTACACCAAAAGAAACATTAATCTCATACCATCAGTTGTCTCAGTTGATCTTTGTGGTTACTCATAATAATCACGTAGCCACAATTAAGACTTGTCCAAATGAGACTCAGGTACAAATAACTCAAGCTTTATCGAAACATTTAAACACTACTTTAGATAACTTGTACAAATATATTTCTTTACGTTATTGGAGTCCCTTTTACTCTGGACATAAAAGGGAGTTTTATTCAGCTACTTGGCTTTTAAAGCTGTGATTTGAAAATGGCTTTCTATTAGGACATAATTACTTACATACATACTTATATACTTACACATTCTCCATTAAACTCTGTCCTGAGAACTCCTTTCCAGTTATTTCCTGTTCCTATTCATCCTTTATATGTATGCCTCCAATTCCCGACGAAGTGTGTTCTTTGACCTCCTGCCTCTCCTTTTCCCGTCAAAATTCCAAGTTAGTGCTCGCCTCGAGATAGCTGAGATCAGCGGTTGAAGTTGGCAACTAAGAATCATTCACAATAAGTCAGATTGCATTCACTTCTTATCTTGTTGTCCATTTTGACTTCGGTATTTATCCAAACATACTTTTCTATTCTATATTTTCATGTCATATTCTCAATGTTTAATCTTTCTAATTATCATTCTTGATATATTATTATTTCGGTTATGTTGGTGCTCAATCTTCTAAATTCATCTCATTGTGCTAAGCAAATGCGTCAACCTGAGCTGAACGTACATATGTTCCAGGTTCCATATTGATTATGACTGACTGTTTTTGTACACAGATCTATGTACATAATTAATGAAATTATGCCTGCATGAACATATAATTATATATATATCTTCTATTTATTGACCGTTATTAATTTTACTTTATAAATAAATCATATGATATTTAAATTAAAGAGGTTTCTAAACTTAAGATAAATACTTCTACTATTATTATTAGTTAACCAGTTAATCGATTTATAAACTTGTATATATATACACATATATATTTTAGAGTTTATTCTTTGGAGACATTAAAATTATGTTATCAGATACCTGCTCATGACAATGAAATTCTATCGTTGAATTTCTTTCAATCATATTCAGGTAATTTATAATTTAGAATTGTTTCCTTTTTTAAATTATTTGGTATTTACCAAAATGATACTGTTCCCTTGAACAGGTCTTTCTTTTTTGTTTTGTCTTTCCGAATACTCAATATGATTCTAAGTAAAACTTGAAAGTTTTGTGAATATTTATTTATCAGTGTATTGTTTATCTACCACGCATTAGTCCTATTATTTTTTCACTTCTATATATTGTTACTAACTAAAATTATCTGTTATTGTTGCAACTAGTTGTTAGCGATGCTAGATCCACAGAGATCACTTGCTAAACGTCCCATTTTTGTAATTTTATTTTGGAAATTTGAGTTTCTCATTTTCGCGACAAAAACGCCCACTTTTACCTTCAGTTTGTATTTCCTATTTAGAAAGACCTCAAATATCATTAGTTCGTTTCCTCTTCTAGTACGGTATTTCGGACGTTTTCCTAGGACATTTTTGTACTGTATGTATACATATGAGTTGCGTGCTTCTTCCGACTACTTGTGGAATATACCTTTCCCTTGGGTGGAAGTCTGGGGCGCAATCTAATAGTTTATCTTATGTTTTTATTTTTCTGACTTTTGTTCCATTCGCCAGTTTAGGTGATATCGTAATCTCTTCAAACGTAACACTAGTTCACAAAAATAAACAATATTTCACTTTTCATTAATATAGTGACCTATTTGTTCCGTAGATGGATTTCTGCAGTAACATAGTATTTGAAAAACCAGTAATAAATAATTACTTTCAGCTAAACTTAGCCTTTCATTACTATTGACCCACTGAATATGATATGATTAATGGTGAATGAATTGCCTGTTTTCAAACCATTTCATTGTCTACTCTTTTCTGTCCTATTATGTACATGCTTTGATATTATTATGTAGTTTTTCTTCTCGCCCAATGGTTCTTTCTCTTTTTTCAGTACCCCAACTTTTATTGTTATGCTCTGCATCACGTGATCGTATGATTCACATATTTGATCCAAACAAAGAATATTCTCGTGTACAAACAATATCTGATCATTCAGGTGCTATATTTTCTGCAAAAATCATTGAAACAGATGATGGTGAAATTCGTTTAATCTCATGTGGTATGGATAAATCATTATTATTTAGAATACTTGAAGTAAGTGTACATATGTATTTATGCATTATAGTGGTGAAATATAACTACATTACTTACTTACTTACTTACTTACTTACTTACTTACTTACTTACTTACTTACGCCTGTTACTCCCAATGGAGCATAGACCGCCGACCAGCATTCTCCAACCCACTCTGTCCTGGGCCTTCTTTTCAAGTTCCATCCAATTCTTGTTCATTTTTCTCATATCTATCTCCATTTCTCGGCGTAATGTATTCTTTGGTCTTCCTCTCTTCCTTCGACCTTGAGGGTTCCATATGAGGGCTTGTCTTGTGACGCAGTTCGGTGCTTTCCTCAATGTGTGTCCTATCCACTTCCAGCGCTTCTTCCTGATTTCTTCCTCCACTGGGATCTGATTTGTTCTCTCCCACAGTAGGTTGTTGCTAATAGTGTCCGGCCAACGGATCCGAAGTATTTTGCGTAGACAACTGTTAATAAACACCTGTATCTTTTGGACGATGGATTTCGTAGTTTTCCAGGTTTCCGCCCCATACAGTAGAACTGTTTTGACATTTGTATTGAAAATTCTGACTTTGGTGTTGGTTGCTAATTGTTTTGAGTCCCAGATATTCTTCAGTTGTAGATATGCTGCTCTTGCTTTGCCAATCCGTGCCTTCACATCTGCATCAGATCCACCGTGTTCATCGATGATACTGCCCAAATATGTAAAGGTTTTTACATCTTCCAAAGCTTCTCCGTCAATTGTGATTGGATTGGTACATGTTGTGTTGTATCGAAGAATCTTGCTTTTCCCTTTGTGTATATTGAGACCTATTGCTGCTGAGGCTGCTGCTACACTGGTTGTCTTCTCCTGCATTTGTTGTTGTGTGTGCGATAGAAAAGCCAGATCATCTGCGAAGTCTAGATCATCCAACTGTATCCTAGCTATCCACTGTATCCCGTGCTTCCCTTCAGATGTTGATGTCTTCATGATCCAGTCGATCACCAGGAGAAAGAGAAAGGGTGAGAGTAAGCAACCTTGCCTGACACCGGTCTTTACTTCGAACGACTTTGTCAACTGTCCTCCATGAACGATCTTGCAGTTTAATCCATCATAGGAATTGTGTATGATATTGACTATCTTCTGAGGCACGCCGTAGTGTCGAAGAAGCTTCCATAGGGTTGTTCTGTCCACGCTATCAAATGCTTTTTCGTAGTCGATGAAGTTGATATAGAGTGATGAATTCCATTCAATTGATTGTTCCACAATGATCCGTAGAGTTGCGATTTGGTCTGTGCACGATCTATCCTTACGGAATCCTGCCTGTTGGTCGCGAGGTTGCGCGTCTACGGAGTCCTTCATCCTGTTTAACAATACCCTGTTGAAGACTTTTCCCGGTATTGAAAGAAGAGTGATTCCCCTGTAGTTGTCACAGTTGCTGAGATCGCCTTTCTTTGGTATTTTGACTAGAAGTCCTTCTTTCCAGTCTCTTGGTACCTGTTCCTCATCCCAGATCTTTCTGAAGAGAGTTTGGAGTATCCTTGCAGTTGCCGCTACGTCTGCTTTCAGTGCCTCTGCTGGAATGCTGTCTAGTCCTGCTGCTTTGCCACTGTAACTACATTACAATGTCTAAATAAAGTCAATTTAAATTTGTTTTTCCAACCGTTGGTAATACATTTCTGTTGCATAGTGAATTCCATTACAAATTTATCTTTGAATTTAGAAAAAGATTTGAGGTTGATATGACTACAGCTTTACAATTCTATGTAGTAGAAGAAAAACTGATTATTTTTTCGGAGTAAATTAAAGCTGAATATTTTATATTTTGCGAAATAATAGTAAAATGATATATTTATCTAAACTACATTAAGTCATATCTTTGTTTTATTATATAGGTTTATATTGCTTCTCAATTAATGAATGAAATGTGTAGGTGAAGCAAGATTCGAACTTGCTATTTTTGTTGTTCACTCCATTCTGTATGTGTTACTAAATTTTAATTAATATACATTTAGTGTACGGTAAATTTAGAACAACTAAAGGGATCTTTTTGGTGAATAACATAATTCTACCGAAATATTTAATATCTTATCTTATGATTATAGTGTAATTACGATTATTGTGACATGGTAAAATGTATTACATAATTGGTTATGAAAGCAGTATTATTAAGAATATTATTATTTGACCTTTTATTTATTTTGAACTTATTTTCTAAATCAAAGCCTGATGAATCTGGCCAAACAGCACATTTCGCACTTGAACACCATCTAGTTGGACGTCATTCTCAATTAGATGCTGCTATTACACCACTGTTACCTAGTTCAATAGAAAATCGAATGAATTCCATGAATCGTAAACGTTATCTAGCTGTTGCATGTCAAGATAGAAGGTTACGAATTTATAATGTTGTCACTGCACGTCCCATACGATGTTATCGTGGAAGTTATACTGAAGATGGTTTCCTAGTTCGTTGTTCAATTGACCCAACTGGATCGCTTATTGCAACTTCAGGTAAATTTTTTCAAGAGCATGTTCTTTTTAACTAACTTTTTTCATCCCAGGATTCTTTTAGTACATATATTGTTTCAAATATTTGCGTTTGGTAAAACGAAAAAGATCATCTTAACTTTCTATGTTAAACAGGTTTTGAAGATTATCATATTTATTTCACAAGAAATGAGGTTTTGAATTGTTAGTTTGAGCCTAAAATATTATTCTCTTTCTCATTTAACAATAATGTATGATCGCAGCAGCTGATGACTTTTGTACATCCTTAAATTTAAACTTTCATTCTTCAATTTTGTAGTGATAGAGTTTAAAGAATTTTTTTTTTTTTCAAATTTTACGATTCTTGGGTTTTCAATTACCGGCTGACGAATAAATTTTACTAGCTTGGATTATTGGTGATAAATGTTTAACTGGTTTTATTTTTGGTAATAATTCATGAATTGTTTGTGGTAATACTCAAAGCTGATCATATTTCAAGATAAAGTTAACAATTTGTTTCTAAATCTGAGGGTTCCTAAGTCGAACATTAAGAACCTCATATATTTGTGATAAAAGAAAGACCGTTCATTGGTTGTTCGGTTCCTATTATTTTTTGGCTTGAGGTGTATTCATAGTGAAAATAAAAATGGTATGTTTACGCTTACAAATAAATCATCGCTAACTAAAAATTATCTTCAAATTATACGATGCCCACACAAAAATTACTTAGTATTCATAATATTTGCATACTAAAGGGTAACTAGATTTTTAATGGATTTTTCAAGGTTCAAATAAAAATCGTTAATTATTAATGCCAGGCAAATTGAGAATGACACAGTAACTTCACATTAATATCGTTGGACTCTAGTCGTGCTATATCATTAATTGACTGTCTATGCATACAGTAGTAAAAATTTGGATACCAATTAAGTTTATCACACTAACGGAAGACCTTGAGTTCTGTTTCATATGATTTCGATCGAATGTACTATCAAGAAGTCTTGAAGTAACTTGATTCATTTTCCAAGTACCCAATATGAGGCACACTTTAAGTTTGAAAGCTAATGGAACCGCCTGGTGTCCCGAACCGAAACAGGTAGACAGGAGTTCGAACCTCGGGACATAGTGAACGCCTTGGATACTAAGCCATCACCGTTCTTGAGCTATAATGAAATTGATATGCAGTGTTCTGGTAATATTCATTAACCTAACTAATATCAGTTCATGATTCAAACATGCATGTTCGTTCGTTAACTGTAGTCATTTTTCATCAAAGGTGATGTTACATTTATACTTATTGATTATCATTTTTCCTTACGTATATTTAATCAACATAATTAATGTTTACATCTTAGATAATTAAAATAACCCATAGTATCATTGAATAAGGATTCTCTTTTTCTTATTCAATGATGGCATCTTACTTCCACTTAATTTTATTATTATTTAAATTGTAGGTTCAGATAAACAGTTGAATTTATTTCATTTACTTACGGGTGAATCAATTGCTACATTATACGGTCATTCAGAATTGTGTTTAGGCTTAAAATTTCTGCCTAATCTACGTTATTTAATATCGGTTAGCGCTGATAGTTGTATATTTGTTTGGCGTTTATCAACAAATTTAGCACAATATTTACATGAACGTATCACTGCATCATGTATGTTGAAAAATATATTAGGCAATTCAATTAGTTATCCTCAATTAGACGGAACTCCATTAGAAATAACGAATACAAGACTAAAAACTGGTAGAGAAGATAATAATGGTTCGTTAAATATTAATCGTTCGGATTACTATCATATTCGTAATGATGATAATGATAATGTTGATGTTAATACAAAACGTAATATAACATCTCGAAACTATACTAGTAAACACAGCAACAGTAAAAATAATGGTGACGATGTTCTAAATGATTGTAACAGTGTGCTATACAACAGTGAAATGAATGAATATGAGAATGATGTTGACGATGATAATTATCTCGATAACTATGGCGATGATGATGATGACGACGTAACATCATTTAGTCAAACAATGCCTCCATCTGAATGGAATGAATCACTTGCAGAATATGATAAAATTGAAAACTTGGATAATTATGATGAGAATGCCGATGATGATATTGGTGGTGGTAATGCTGACGATGATGATAATCATGGTGAAGATAGTGAATTTGATGCGTTTCCTTTAGATGATGTATTATCAGTTAATGTTACAAATCCTATCACTATCCAAATGAATCATTTAATGAATAAGCATATTGTAACGAAACATAAATGTATTGTCGCGTAAGTAATTTGTCATAAATTTCTTTGATTATTATTTTGAATCGCTTTCATTATATTCTTTTTCTTCTAGGATTAAGTACTTTTTGATTGGGTCGATACTAAAAAACCGTCAGATTACTAGTTTTGTGATCTAAAAGTAACTTTACTGACTGATATCGTATCTTGTTTTAGCAGCTTCAGATTTCTACCAGTTAATTTCTATCCTAATCCTAATAACTTATAAGTTTAGATGTCGGCTGAATATGCGTAACTATCTGTATTTAACATACTAAGCTTAACTTCTGCAGTAATCACTTTATAATCGTACTGCTTCCTTCAACAGTGTTTAAAAGATACATATATTGGCTTACTGGTTAACCACTCAACTTTTAACAATTAGGTTACAATTTTTCAGTCTCATTCCGACTAATTCAGTTTAAGCAACAAAGAGAGAAAGTATCGCTAAGATTCACACAAAAAAAATGTAGATCAAAACCGATTATTTATATTAATAGTGACTAATTGATTTAATTTTGAACAACTCAACAACGTTAATTTATGAGTTTTAAGAATTCAATAAAATCACTATTTCATTATCAAGTACATAATAAAAAGTAAACAGACCTGAATCATATTCTTTTCTCGTTGGACAATATTTAGCCAGGAGTTTTTTTTTAAACTCATCTTGTAAATTTAATAAGAAAGTTTTAACCATTGAAATACATATGACTTCCTGCCACAATAGGCTGAAAGTTCTAATCTAGTACCTCCCACTTTGTTTACCAATGATGCTTCCCAAGCATGTAAAACTCTCCACTTCTCTCAGGAATTCTTCACCAAGTTTGATTTAGCCTGTACTTTTTGTGTTTTATTTTATGAGTTTGCTTCTTCTATTTTAGTTAGTTAAAATATTTCATTTTTTCGTTTCTTTTTCGTAGTGAGAACAATTCAACTAATTGGTGTAGCAATAATAATAATAATATTTTGATTAAATCTCAAGTTTCCGCTGCTACTGCTACTAATTGTAATAATAGTAGTAGTACAGCTACAAATTCTGTCAATCAAAATAATAATGACAATAATAATATTAATAATGACAGTAGTAGTAGTAATCGTAGTGGAGGAAAGAAGCCGGAATTCTATTTTAGTGTTAGCGCACTTCCAGCTTGGGCACGCAGAAAGGTAATATAAATAGTGTTGGTGATGATATTTTTTTCGAATTATTATTAATATTTATCATCTAGGTAGGTACTAAGGTTGTATGGACATACTTTTAAAGATTATGTGGGTTTTAGCAAAATAATCTAGATGAACATTCTATGTACCATGTTATGAGAACAATTGATCTTGAATTTGAGTTTTTCAACCCTCTGTATACGTTAATCTGATGCAATCGTTGAATATTAGCTTCCGCTTTCTTAGCTTTATGGAAACAGGCTGTTAAAAGCTGTGAACTTACGGCTATATGAGAGCACCTGAGGTTGAATGCGGAACTTATTGTAAACTTGGTTTCTGATCTTTTCTCCCGAAATATAATGACAGAAGCAGCAAACGATATACCATACCTGATTACCTAAAGCTGAAACCCCCATGTGAAGTCGTGATTGATCACAACTGAGAGGTCCAAAACTAGGATGAAACATTTGTCGGATACCGTTTAATTTCTAACCATTTTCTCAGTTGGTGTCAATTCATTTTGGAAACTTTCTTCTAATTGGTCATTTCAAGTCATTAAAAATCACTATATTATAACGCAACGAGTGTGAAAATTTTCTAGTTATAGCCACTAGTCAATTTTTCTGTTTTTTTTTTCAATTTATCCTTGAAACTGATATTGTGAATAGATTAAGTTTAGAAACTATCATTCTGTTGTAACTACTTTAATGTTTAAGTTAATATAAAATACATCATATGTGTGTGTGATTGCCAACATTTACTTTTTAGCTTATACACACGTGTAATCAGTATTACTGTTGCTATTCTAAATGTGAACAGTGGATTTGACTTCGATTAAAACGTCATCTAAACACGAGATTAAAATACCTAGTTAGCTTTTAGCGAGTAACCCGTTTGCTAACTAAACGACCAGTTTACTGCCTAAGTGTTCTTTCCGTTCTACTTTATGGCTGTGGAATATGGTCTTCAGAAATAGATATTCGTAGATTAATAGTACCCTATCGTATATGTCTTCGAAGAACTGCTCCTATACTTTTGGGCCATTGAGTTAGTAATTCTGAGGTTAGACATATAGTATTATGTAATTATAGTAAGTCGATTTACGAGATAGTGAATATTTGTCGAATAAAATGATAAGGACATATAATACATATACCCATCCATCGACTACCTCAGAGTGCGATGATTTTTGGTGTAGAATTAGGTTAGAAGAAAATAGGAGTAACCAAACCAAGGCACTAGTCGATGGAGACATGTCCTTGTTGGTAAGTGGAGACTACCTGTTTGAAGTATGCGTGATTATCGTACTTAATGGTTAGAGACTTTAAATGACACGGCAGTTTCATCCTAGTGTGGGACTATCCGTTACCCCAAAAATAGGACTTGAACCTTAGTACCTTCATTTTAGTGCGCTAACGCTTAACCTCTAGGCCACTGAGCCGGGATCCGACAGTGCTAATGTTAAACTCTAATCCATGTATTTAATTGTTGAACTCACTTTATTAGTATATATATATATATATATATATATATATTTCGGGCTTTCATATTTTAATCTATTACCGTTTAACTTATCAATTCATTCAATATATATATCTTTAGCTGAGTCGTCGTGAATCAGTGACCATTGTCCCAACCTCTTTGACACAGGTGATAAATATATCTTAATGTTTCTTTTGCTTTGTGTTGTTCATTTCCATCATGTGACATTTTAGCATTCTTCTTCCTTTGCATATGGGTGTATGCAACCGAACCCAGATCGTTGTTACACATATTTAAATTGTTTATTTTTAATTTTGTAACTAACTGAATGATATGACCTATGTTACATAGAAACGTATAGTTTGTTGGTTTTTTTTGTATGGTCTCTATTCTCATTTTTTTTGTTTCTGGTAATTTAGCTGCATAATAATAATACTACATCAGTCATGCTTACGATTAAATGCTGCATGTACGTATGCAAACCAACTCCCATTATCATCTTATTATTATCGTTGTTAGAAATCAAATAATTATGTTTTCTTTATAAAGTTCATTATGATTAGCAAATTATAAAAAACTTCACTTGTTACCATAATTTCCTTCTATCCTTTTTCGTATTCATTTACACATTACATTCAGCATGAAAATCTCTATTTTGCAAAATGTCTTTTTCATTCAGTATTCGTTATTGATAATTATTGAAATGTTATAATCGTTATCGTTGTTTGTTTTAGTATATAATAAATTCCATTGTATTTATACTCGTATAAGTATTGGTTATCCATTTCATCTCATTTTCAGCACAGATCATAACATAGTTTAAATATATTGCTTGGTTAAGCAATATATTACTAATCCATAGTTTTGAAAGTTACCAATTAATCATGTACATCAATTTGTATATTAACTTGATTACAACTTACACATATGACAAAATATTTTGTAGTTATTATTCGTTTTCGTAAATCTTTGTTGATTTAATTTTAAACATTTTTCTCTCAAATTTAGTCTGTTTATCTATATAGTAGCTTCTTTTTATTATGTAGGTTTTGAATAGTGAATTTGACGTGAATGGATCGGATTCAGCTAGTCAAACCTCTGTAGGAAGTGGTCCAATATTGCCTGTATCGACTAGTGGTTCCTGTTCCCATGAAACAATACCTAACTATATTTATCGGTTGTCTTCATCAGTTACAGCAACAAACAGAAAATCAAAATATACTCGTGTTCGCGGCAAAACATCAACTGACGACATTTCTGAAAAAGTTAGTCGGTTTAATAATTTTATTATTTCACTGCATAATTATGTCTAGTAAATTTTTTTCTAAATGCGAATCATTAAACAGTTCATTTCCACTAAATTTTGTTATTATTGGTGACAGGGATTAGGTAAACTTAGTAATATATTCTTTTTGATTTTCTAAACTGAAGTCTAACTTGTCCGAGGAATTCCTGAACCGTACATGAATTTAGATTGTAGGTTTGTAGCTGGGTAAACATTCGACTTTAGTAACTTTGGCTATTAGACGGAAAATATTTTGAATTCTCACATTCAAAGCCTAATACTAGAGCATGAAGCATTATGATACTATCTGGTTGCCTAAACCGAAAAATTTGGAGGGGGGTGTTTGAACGTGAGACTTAGTGATTAAAAATCGTACACCTGAATCATTAAGCCACCTCTTTAAAGAGCCTTGTAAAGCGATATTTTGTGCTTGTAAAAATAGTTTTTCACTCGGTAACGTCATTTTAACGAATGGTTTTATTGAAAGTATTGGCTAACAAATCTCTTATGTAGTGGTACTACCGCGATTTCATTCGACTGAGTACTTCAATAATCAACAATTCAAGCTCACACTGTATTATTCTCTACTCCAATTCGCATAAACACTAAAATGATAAATTAACATTGAGGAAAATATGTGTTGTCGTTACATTTGATGACACAAGAGAAAATTTGTTGATATTTTTTAAAGCATGGCTTTGACAATCATCTACTAAGAATAAAGTAACTAAAGAGCCAAATTAAAGTTTTCGCATGTGATATGCAAATTCCAACATGACTTATTTGACAGTTAATTTTTACCAGGTGATTTTGGAGAAATTGTCAAGAAATAAATCCTTTTTCAACATAATATAGTCTATTTATTTGCTAATAAGTTTCAAATTATTTGTTATTTACTATTAAAAATCATAATTATGATCCAGTATAATTTGTATTCTTGAAGTACATACAGTCCATTATAATGAACAGAGAAATTTTTTTGATTAACAACTTTCCTGAAATAAAGTAACTTGTTTCCCTCATGAAATTGAATATTTGTGAAAGTTGTTATTAACATGATAAATTTTAAATGTTTGTATCACTTGATGCTATGACTTTGAATTAGAGGTTGATACAGTTTTCAACAGAGTTTAATGGTCGATAGCATCGGAATCTACGATTTGCGTCTCGTCCTGCTTGAGGCTCGTCGGGTGACTATGTCTGCACCTAGTGATAATATTCACAGCGACACATGAACTCAGTACCATTGACTTTAATAGCTTTTCTCGTTATCAACTTAGCTACTGAGTCTAGATGGCCAGTAGTTTGTGCAACGGACATGAATTTCTAACTTATTTCCGAGAATTTTTTCTTCCTGTTTTTTGATATTGAGAATTGTAATTAATCAATCTTTTTTAACATATATACAATCTTAGCGGATTGCCTTGATACTGTCATTAAGTCGAAGTGATTTTTAAGCAGAGCTGTTTAGTCACTGTGAATGATATCTACTACACGCATGTGCCAAATGAGACTAATCTATTCCAATTCATAACGCCAACAACTCTTACAAGCGAATCAAAAATTGATACATTTTGTTGTGAATTACTTTACCACCATGTATACTTGTTTGATTAAATTATCAGGAACCATTTGATTATTTGAAAATTTTTATCATACATAAGAATGTAATGAAAAATCATAATATATTTGCAATGAACTAATGAGTAAAAAACTGAATTTCTCACGTTTCGTGACTTAGTGTAGGTCGCTTCTTCATAGAACAAATAAATATTTGAATTAAATTAACACTAAAAAATACATAGTACAACCAAAATAAGCTTAATCAGGTCGCTTTAACGCAGAATTTTGTCTGTATATTAGATTGTGTCGATTGTGACACTTTTATTGGAGATTCATCTTGGGAAACTTTGACATCTAAACTACACAAAAAAGACCTAATAATCATATAGAACTTTAGGGGCTCCAAATAAACCGTCAATAGTGATGCATATTTTTCTTTAATAGTCAATAAATTGGTATGCAAAATATCAAAAAGTGTTTCCAACTATAAAGAAAGGCGAGTCGTTGAAGCTTTTCGTTTATTACTAAAGTCTACTGAGTTCAATAGAAAATAGAAAACTTGAACGATTAGTTCAAACAGCCATATTTACTTTTCACACCCCATACAATTACACAAACATACAAATTTAACCCTACTCCTTCACATTACAAATACCACACTTTTCACACCCACTAACATTCATACAAATACACAGGTATATCTTACATAGGATCACCTTGACCGAATAACATGTAATTGAGTTGATCAGGTTTATTGTGATTGTACTACTTATTTTGCTTTGTTCTTTTGTACTATTTAAACTTGTGTTAATCTAATTCGATTATTTATTTATTGTTTGAAGAAACGACTTACACTGAGCTATAAAACTTTTAAAATTCACTTTACAACTCATTAGGATTTTACGAATATATCACAATATTTCATTGATATCCAATTCAGTCATTTGAACTGGTCAAGTCAAGTATTGATATTCACACAATATTATTTATTTTAATATATATATTCAACAATCATATCAAACATATTTGGGATTAAAATATCATCTGAATGGTCAATAATGATTAATTTGTATTTCTCAATATTCTAAGTAACTGTTTCAGTTGATTAGGAAATTTCATGAAATAACGTTGATGTTGACAATTTGTAGTTCAAATGGATACTTGTAGTGATTTTGTGTTACTCTATGCTGAGTGATTTAAAATTTTTGTTCTGATTATTGTCATTAGTAAGTAGTAACAGTGAGTTCATGGATTAATTTTTTGAAATTAGGTTTGCTAACTTAGTGATTGTAACACAGAATCATTGTATTATGGTTAATATCTATTAGACAATAATCAGTGTATTTCCTCTACACTTATATTAATATCGTAAAAGTTATCTTTCAGTTCTATTTTCTCAAGACTATTTTCCTATTTTTATGCACATTTTATTTTACTAAAAGGATATATTGACACCAGTGTCTAGTACTGCCACTACTACTGTTGTATCATTATCTGTTTCCCAATCGACAATCTCAACCATTAACCATAATCATACACTTTATTCACAAATGTCTCGATCAGAATACAACACTAGAGAATATTTTCATTTTAATCAGAATGATGAAATTAATTCTAACGAACAAATAACTCATGAAAGAAAAAACAATTGGTTTACACGTGCTGTTTCTGCTCCGGACACACCTCGTTCTTGGAAAAAAGATGCTTATAGCGTAGATAATAAGCGAAATATGATAACAACACCAGTAACAACGACTACTGCTATAAGAACACGGAAGATAATTGACAGTTCTACCAAAAAACTTTATCCTACTCAAAGGACTGTGGAAACATCTTTCACCAATCGAGTCGCTGCTCAAAATAGACCTAAGGATTTGGTTAGTTCTTAAACGAATATTTGATTTTACGTGTAGTGACGTACGATTGTTGTGTATATAATTGATGTTTTCACTACTTATATAAAGTAGATACTAAAAATAATAATAAAACTACATGAGAACTGGATCTATAATCAAACGTGGCTCATTTACTCAAAATAAGGACCACTGGTTATTAGTGATGTTTTTGTTTTCAGAAGTATCGAACTTAATTTGTAAGTGATAACTATGAGAGTCTAACCTTTAAAGTCTCTCATTCTTTCCCAATTCAATTAGTAAATTATAATTCGCGAAAACATTTCCTAATTTTTTCTTACTGTTATTTGGTTACTTCTGTCGAGCATTGTTTTTTAAGTATGATGAGGTGGTCTCACCATATCAATATTTATAATTAATTGAAAAATTCTGTGAAAACTAAGGTTTTGTTGTATTCTGAATATAAAATCTGTATAAGGCGTGATAAAAACATCGGGAACAACTGCTTGATGCTTAATGTTGTCAATTTTCACATTTATTTATTTATTATTTATTTGAACACATAAATATTGGTACAGGGGGGCACCAAATATATATGCGCCACACAAAACAATGATAATTTGAAGAGAAGGAGAAAAAAAAGGTAATGAACGTGGGGAATTATGAAAAAAAAAGAGCGTGATAACAATGATGGGGAAAACGGAAGGGTACAATCAGAAGAAATCTTTCAGTTAAGGAAGATACAACCACTTTTTATGAAGAAAGTAAAAGAAGGTTACAGCAGGATCGCTATTGGCTTCTATTCTGAGCCATATCTGATAAAGTCTCTAGCCACTGCGTTACACCGTCTCTCGGACCCCAACCAGGGAGTCGTGAAGGACCAACAGAAGCTAGCCCTTTCACGTATTATACTTCGACTAACGTTGTAAAGTCACTTGCGCTCATATGGAAAGTATAGCTTTAAGCTGACATCATAAATCTCTACCTGACCATTGAGTTCTAATTTCTCAGAGGGTTGTTTACTCTATTTCAAATTAAAATAGTTTTTTTAAAAAATGTAATTAATGTTCATATCGATTAGATCAATTGCAAAGTATTCAAAAATAGGCTAACTTTCTCCTTTCAATGTCTGTCTTTTCTCATCTGTATTCAGGCCTTAGAACAATTCACACCACCAACGCATACCTATGAAGTTTGTGCTAATCGATTATTAATGAATGAGTCGACTACTGGTGGAGATTGTCCGAACGCATTGCCATTATTTAACAGACCTAAAAATAAATCATCTCAATATCGATCTTACTCGGCCACGCAACTAATTCCTTCAAGGTATGAGATTATGTTTTTTTATCAAGTAAGAATATTCTAAAAAAACGTTAATACTCAGATTCACCATTCCCAAGTACATTGAGTCAGCTTCAATCTGTTCGGTTTTATCAAACGGAAAATACAAGATTACATTCGATAACGGGAATATTTGTCAAAATCGATAGAGGCTGAATAAAACATACCAGCTGTCAATATAACCATTTACGCTCAATCTCATTAGAATGTATTCTACTAACATTGATAGTTGAATGAAATCAGCAGAAAATATTGCCTATTCTGCGTTTTATTCTCGTTAGCGTTCAGTCTGTTAGATTCTTGTAGAATCTCCAAAAAATCTGTATGTATCATTACCAAGATTTGATTTGGTAATTTCGAATAAATTGAGCATTGAGTAGGTTGTTATAAATAAATAATATATTTGTAATATCCCAATGAGTAGAAAATCTAATTTTTCTACTCATTGGGATATTAAATATATACATTATTTATTTACTCCAAAAAATCTGTTTCATCTACAGACAAATGCACTTAGCTCAGTTGTGGTCAATGACGTTGTTATTGATATAACTTATTTGTGATGGACTTCTTGTACTGTTGAATCGAGTTTACACTTGAGTAATTTACGAATAATCATTTTTTAAACAAAATAGTATAGGACACTCTACTATGGTTAACTAACTTAACCGATACTATAATAGTTCCAGTTAAAATTGAAGTGTAATCGAACCAGTAGTAGAAAGAATGAGATACATACTACAGAATCACTGCAATTTATCCTTGAACAGCACTAGATATATGAAATTTACACTTTCTTGGAGCTTTATTCACACAGGTTTATATTTGATAAAGACGATTATGAATGCTTTTTCTTTTATTTCTAGTTTATTGATCAAAGTTTTATTTATTTATTTATTTATTTGAACACATAAATATTGGTACGAGAGGGCACCAAATATATATGCGCCACACAAAATTTTATTTGTGTGTGGGCCGTGATACTGCCCGGGTGCCCAGATTGAAGCAGGTGGTTTTCTTAGGGGGCCACACCCGGAGCCTTCAACCTAAAGGTCTGACCCACAAGGCAGTGGAGCTTCGTGAGGAAATGCAGTCCCATGGTAGCCGGTGACCAACGATTGGTTCATACGCCATTTGTTCCCGCAGGATACTGGAGCCCATGTGCACCATTGATTTGGGATCCGGTTAAAGCGCCGGACATTCGCTTTTCGTCCTCTCATTTTCGTAAACAACACCCCCGCCACGAGAAGGCAGTGAGTAGGACTTCCCTGGCAGAGGCTGTATACGCGTGGCCGTGTGAGTATTTCGAGAGGGAGGGCGGGCCCACCCCACTCTCGGCCATACCAGGGCATTTGTTCTTTATATTCTATGTAATATTTTTTCAAGAATCGGTTACTTTTGTACAGTTTGAATTCATCTTGATCAACAACAAATGTGAATAAGTAAGATATCTTGACTGATCTGAATTGTTTTCTTTATTGACATCACCGAATGACTTGTTTTGATAATAAAGAATGTATTGATTAGCATAACAAGTCTGAACTGAATAAATATCAGTAAACAACATCTGGTCTGTGATCGAGAAGATTGGTTATTTAGGTAATTTTCTGTGTGTATTTTTAACTAACCTAAATTATAACGAATAAATCTCGTCAAATGATTTATGCTGATCGATCCAACAGCATCATAAATTACCCTGTAGGATTATTCAGACCACGTAGTAGCATCAATCAAATTTTACTTGAATACATCTATTACATGTAGACAACTGACAGCTAAATAAATTTCAAACTTTTACAAACTTATGAGACTTTTCACTGTTGTTATTTTTAATTATCCAGAATTTTATAATTTTTATTTTTGAACAAATTAAAGTTCCTTTTAATATTTGGACTTAACTACCTCTAATTTGTTTTATTAAGTGAAGAACTCAGTTCCTAACTTTTCTTGCTTAGAAACATTACTTTTAATTCTCTTCTTCTGTTCACACAGTTTTGTTCTTTTTCCACGGTACCTCCGTTGATTGTTTTCTTTTCATTACATCTTCTCTCTTATTCATTTTATTTTTCTGCTACTGTATTTCATAATATTGAACACCACCTTTTATTGGGCGGTAATAACCTTTTTACAGCTTAATTAGGTTTCATTGTTTTAAACGTCATGCAGTGCATGGATATCTTGCTACAATGACCATTGTTTCGCGTCTGTATATGGAAAGCAATAGTTTTTTACATCGTTTATAATCCCATGATACTTGTCATGTGAACGATATTGCAATCAATAATAATTGAAGGTTTTTCGAATTCACTAATGCATAATCATAGCGATGCGTAAATATTGCAAGTTAATGATATACAACAAAGAGATGTAAAGGATCTGTGGTTTTTATTTTTATCTTTACCTACATTTTGATTATTCACTGTTTATTAATATGAATCATCATTGAACATCGCCACTCATCTATTTTAAATATTTGATTCACTCGAATTATGAACCTAATGAATAAAGAATATTGGAAAACTCGAAAATACTGTCCAGCTAATCAGAGTACTTGAGTCTTTTCGCCTTGTTTTAGAATTCTACTGCATTGTTTCACATAGTATCAAGCTTATGAATTTCAGGTGTTGCTTTCAGTGACCTGAATAGTCATAGCTGTCAGTCGTACTTTTTATATAGTAAATAAACATATTAGGATTTCGCTATTGTTACCCAGTTTTCCGGGACATTTATTAGTGAAATCATTGGTTAATTTATATAATTTCATCATTTGCAGTCACGTACTTCGTGTATATATGATAGGGGTTAGTGAGTCCAAATTTAATTCAATTCAAACTTATTTGATCAGCTTATTGTTGACTGATTTATTACTGTTGTTAATTTAATTAATTTGCTTTTCACTTGTGAAAATCGGTCTCTTTGAAGTAAAAGATGTTTGATGATGGTTTTCTGCTTTCAATAATCTTTTTCTGTAAAGGATTATTCAAGTTTGATGATAACATTGAGTTTTCTAAACAGTAGATATTTATTTGTTCATAATTTATAGTTCCGTCAATTAATCAAAGTTTTCATTTTCCAATCAGTTTACCTTTGTAAGTTATTTCAAGTTTAAAAGGAAGAAATAAAAAAGGAAAAACGCCTTCTGTCTACATCTTATACTTTTTTTCTTAAAAAATCATTGTTTATGAAATGTTTTTTGTGGTTAGATTATATTACTCTGGTGTGTGCCACTTATACGGACAGATATGAGTATTATGTATCAGGAATCGGAAGTAAGATTCTTATGGACAGAAGAGCGAAATGAAAAGAAGAAGAAAAACAGAAAGCAACCAAAATGTCAACAGGAATAAATAAACAATTGAGTTTTTAAGAGATACTTTAAGGAAGATGAGTAAATGGTTTATTCACTTTGTTGTTCTCATATTTTAAAAATACAGTGTATGATTTTTCATAATACAGTAAATTGGTCTGCTCCAACCACGTCTTCGTTTATTACATAGCCATTTGGAAGTTAGGAATACGGATACTGCCTAAGGTGAATTCCTTGATGTATTGATGCCAGTTGGATAGTTGTCATTGAAACTCACGGAGTATCGAAATACTATTGTTCAATCATCTATTCACCACTTCCATTTTCACATATTTGAGAATAACATGAAAAATTAACTAAGTTTCAATACCTGAACTGATTAGATTTTTAATTACCAAATGATACAGTCACTTTCCTATTATCAAATAATGCCTGTAAACATATCTCAAGATTTCAATTTTTCTTATCCCATATTATCCAAATATCTTGTAGAAATAAAGTCAAACTTCAAGAACGACGTCATGTTCGATCTCGTGCCAGTTGGTTTCCTGTTAGGTATATTCTGATACTGATTGTTGGAATATGTTTGTGTTTGTGTGTTCATGCAGTAACCGCACATACATACATTAATATACCCATTTAACTAACCTTATTTTATTGTTATTATCTATGGATTGGTTCACTATATTTTGGTTTATTTATAATTGATTTTTACTACTAATAATAATAATAATGGGGAGTGATTTGTCAGTTGTGTATCCATCAATTTATAATTTATCTTTTCTAACTCGTAACCATTGGAATACTAAAATAATTCTATGTTGTAGTTCGAGAATATCACTAGAAGTTTTTTTATTTTTGTGCTTCTGAATTATTGTGTTTTCTCCCTAATTATTCAATAAACAGTATAAATTTAGAATGACATGACATCAGTCCATAGAGTCATTGACAGTTAGGCTTATTCATGTTGGTTCGTTTGCACGATTATTGTAACTAATGGTTGGAGATGTTAAGTGACATGGTCCAGGATAGATTGCATTGGCACACACATTCACTCTGTCTTGCTTTAAATCTTGAGTTTTAAAACTATGCTATTCTTTTTATCCTATGAATTTGTTCTTTTCAAATTAAACTGTTTGTATCTAATCGTTCCTACTACTGGTGATACTCTTCCTGTTTTTACTAATCTCGGACTTATTTCGAAATATTTTCGTCCCTTCGTTCTGATATAGTTTTACAAAATGTGATACAAATATTTGCCAGATTCTACCTTGTTTATAACTAAACTGGCAAATTGATTGAGGATACGATTTCGTTATTTTAAAGTACCTACTGATTTATTGTGTAATTGTTTTCTATCGTTAAGTGAAAATAATATCGACAATTAATGTACTCTCTGCTTTTATAGTTAAAACATGAGATTATCTAGCTTAGATTTTTCAATCCATGTAAAACCTAACTCAGTTAATGTATATATGTGCTTGTAGTGGTGATGGAAGGATTATTGATGCATTTTTACTTTTTATTGAGTTAATGTTGTATACAGTAGTTGACGATTAAGCAGTCTTCACTATTCTGATACATCTCTATGACAGTATTGATCACTAATATTCAATTATATAGATGAGATTAATGAAATTTGACTGTTTGCTGATTTTGGCGTTTTCAGTTATTTTACCTTCCCACAACATAACGAGAGAAGATATCAAAAATAATACACCATTTCACCGAAAGATTTCCGATGCCGCTGGTAAAATGTAGAAAGTTCACAGCTAATATATCTAAGACAATTTGCAAAAAGGACGTTTGTCACTAACCACATCAATTGGTCAAAAGGCTTTGTGGTCACTCTATCAGATCGTTTAGATCAAACAACCCAGTTTCCTTATTAGATCCCTCCAGAAAAAAGTATCCTCACACAGTGTAGGCAATCGGGAAGTGACAACCACATACACACATACTAAACAGCGTCCAAGTTCATCGTATCCTGCACTCCATCTTTGGATCCTGGTTTCAGACTTTTTTGGGACCATTTGTGCATGTTATTGAGGCGTTCAAAACTAGGGTTAACTAACTCAATATTCTTCGACTTTTTCAACTGATGTTAGTTCATAAAGAAATCCACTTTGAAACTTAACATAAATTCCACAAATCAACTCAGCTATCTGATTACAATTTTAGAATGAATAAACACTTTCTGATAGTTAACAATTTTATCGTATGTGTATTAGCTCTATTCAAACTGTACTATTGCAAACGTAAATATGATTCTGTTACAGGATAGTTGTTTATCTATAACAAATTATTTTATTGGATTATTCACTCATACTTATGTATCAAATAATGACTTAAAAAAAGGGGGCGATATATTGTTAGTTTGTCTACTTTTTCCGCAGCAATGGTGATAGAGGGAGACTGTTGATTTGTTATAACAACAAACGTTTGTTTGATAAATAGGAATATTTACAATAACTCACATTTTCCTGTTGTTTGGCTAAATTAAATCAACTGTGATTTTATCATTTATCGAAAGTGACACTCAGTTAATAATCAATGATATCCTATTTCTTATTCATCTCATTCTGAGTTACATAACTTGATCATTTCTCTTTTGTGTTCTCTCTCTTCTTATTATTCGTGTACTACTATACTTCTAACTAATCTACTTTCATTTCTGTTTTCAGTGATGAGTCAGCGAGTGGAATTCATTAATTAACCATTGTCTCAATGTTTTAACTTGTTTTTTTATTGCAATCTTTTCTGTTTTCATTTCTATAAGCTCAGTTTTTTAATTAGTTGTTTCAATTATTTGTACTGAAAAATTGACAAATAAAGAGAAGGGGTTTTGTGGAGATTTTAGAAATTTCACTAGTTGGAATCATGAGTCAACTGAAGCTAGGCCACCGTGGAAAACCCGGAAGCGCCGGACGGCCGTTTCATCCTAGTATGGGACTCCTCAGCAGTGCGCATCCACGACCACGTCCCCCGTGAGATTCGAACCCAGGACCTACCAGTCTCGCGAGCGTGCACCTAACCATTAGACCACCGAACCGGCTGGCATCCAACGGTGTTGATGTCTAACTTCAACCAATCCACGAAATTGCGCCACCGTACACCATTGTCTTTAGCGAGCTGATATCTCACAACAGACCCGTACTGGGACGAAACGGCCATGCAGTGCTTCCAGGTTTTCCATGGTGGTCTAGCTTCAATTGACTCATGATTTCAACTAGTGAAATAAAGAGAAGTTAATATCTTCCAAACTTTTCTTATTTCATTTCTCTTTTCTTTTTTTACTTCGAAAACTTCTCTGTTCATTTTTCACTTGCTTTTTTTCATTTTTATTATCAATATTGAATCAAATGCATCACATAGTCTCCTGTCTTTTGTCTAACTATAAATATTATCCACATTTTTCTCCTAAATTACAGTTCTCCTAAACAACATAATCTTCCTCCTTCTACGATTGTTGATGATTCTGTCAATCTATATTCAACAAATAGTTTACATCATTTTCTTGATGATACAAATGCAAATCGTGCTTTGAATTACAATTATGGTGATCGTTGTCAACAGCATAATCAGTTGAAGGATTTACGTGCTTCTGTAGGTTTTGTGTTACTTTTATTATTATTATTATTACTATTGTTAATAAAGATCAACGAGTTTTGATTAGTTATGTCCCCTATCTGATTTATTAAATGATGAATTGAATGCTGTTAGTGATTATCACAATGATTTATTCGGATATGATTATATGATAACTACTGGTCACGTAGATAACATGTTGAATTTACTAACAGTCTAATCATTTTGAACAGTTCACTGTAGAATAATTAGTGTTTTAATCTATTTGTGATGCATGGAAGTGTAAAACGAAATAAATGTGATTATCACGCATGGTTATATAATTCAAATATTAAATCTTCGACAGTTAAATCAATTATTTCGAACCATTTTTCATGTTCTGTTTCGGTTCAAGGATCAAGGTATTTCATATGTAGCTGTCTTAGTAGGCATGAAATTAAACTAAGCACGCGAATACTTGTATTTGACTATTGTGTTTTTTATTGTTAATATTACACTCTAGTTTTTACCGTTTAATTTCAAACATCTTATGTCTTTATTTCTTTATATATTCAACTACTCCTAAATAACCACGATATTTGAGGAAAAGTGTGTATACAATATCGCTAGGCCAAACTGGATAGTTATATATATATATATATATATATATATATATATATATATATATATATATATATATATATATATATATATATATATATATATATATATACGGTTTCTTACTAGGACTTAACAAAATTATATATTCATATTTGTATTACTTATTTTGTGGACGATCACATTATATAATGCAATAAAAAATTTTTTCAACGTTTCTAGTTCCTTCGTTGTTTTTTCTTTTTTAATATTCTTCTCTAACTTAGGTGGATATAACTTCAAAGGCTTTATTAATGTCATCAATATCATCAAGATATCATGGCAAGTTTTTTTTTTGAGCATTTAAAAAAATAATAAACATCGATTTGTTGTGTAGGTGTATGCAAATAAATAGATGTCGAGCATGCTTTTTTAATTGGTTTATTAATTCCAAACACAAACGCTATCTTAAAATCGATTAGTCAAATTCTAGAATTAAATTCTGCAAAACCTACTGTCCATTTATAAGTATAGGGTCGTGGAAATTAATGAGTAATTAATGTCATGAAACGACCTAATTTAAACCACCCTTGAAAACCTGGCGGCACGGAACGGCCGTTTCATCTTAGTATGGAATTACTTGGCAATGTGCATCCACGATTACTCACACAAGAATCGAATCCAGTACCTCCCGTTTCGTGCGTGAACACCTTACCGCTAGACCATTGAACCTTAATCCGACGGTGTTAATATCTAACTTCAATCAATTCACGATATTGCGCAAACATTTATAGTTCTGGCAATTATTACTTACTTATGCCTGTCACCCTTGTGAAGTAGCACAGGCGACCCACGACAGTATCACTTCTCTTTTAGGCCTGACGTCTACGGTTTTGTTTAACCGTTTTCCAACAAACCTGCCTAATTGATAGACACATGTATTTATCCAACGTAGCTCGATTGAGTTATCACGATACGCAATCCTGACAACCACATCAAGAAAGCAACCGCGATTGGTCATGTGTATAATGTTGTGTATTATGGCAATATGCAGTGTACTGATAGTTATTGTTTAGCTATGCTACACACATAGGCATTTTATATATAACTTCTTTAAAAAGGTAGTTCAATTGTCCCTGATCTCAATTAGGTTTTTGTTTGTAACAAATTTCTTTTCAATAATTCAAATTGGCACACATATTAATCTGGTAAATGGACATATTTGAGTGCATGCTACATTCATCGTTTTATTGTCATGATAATTCTATTTTGTTCCTCCGTTCCTGATAAATATCGTTGGTTATTTGATGTTTCGGTTTTGGTTCACAATTTTTATTGTTGATACTAGGTCACTTCATTAATCAATGTAATACTACAGTTAAATAATTTATTTTTGTGCATTTTTCGAGTTTTCGACAGACGAACTTATGCAATCAAAATTTAACCAGAACTGTATTTTGTGCTCTTGTTTATATAAAACAAAATGTTTTTTAGTCTTCATATTGCACAAATGTATGTAGTCTGAAGGTATCAACCTGGATTGAACGTGGCACTCCTGCTTTTCCTAATTCGGTTCGTACTGTCGGCTAGTATCATCGGGGTGCACAAATGTTTGTAACTCAAACCAGAGTATCTCATTAGTAAATATGATCGTCTTTTTTCTATGATAACATGCCTCATAATTTCATTCCCTGCTTGTTTTTTTTCGTGTGTTGCTTCATGTTACTTATTACGAACAATAAGTAGTTAGATTTATGTTCAATCATTTCTGCACTTGTAGAGCGCCTTTTGTTTCAAAAAGTCTTTCATTGTCCCACTGTTGCACTGTATTAGTCCATTTTCCTACATGTAATTTCTTTGTATTTCGATTCTCGTCCATTTTTTTATACAGAAAACTCTTAGTTACTCTCAAATATTTGCATAAATTTTTATTGCGGTCTGCCATATCATTCAAGAAAGGAGCACTGAGTGGTCTGTTTTGAAATCTTAGTTATTTGTCAATTACCGATGATTACATATGATGTGGCTATGTATTATTTCCTAATTCACCGAATGTTTTCTACTTTTAATTTTTATTCACATAAACCAAATACGCATTCTCATTTTAATGGTGAAACTTTTTTTAACACTAACGGACAATTTAAAATATGTAGACTCGTTATATTCATTTCAGTTTCTGTGACGGTAATTTTCAATTTTTCATTTCTGGAACATTCACTCGTAACCTAGTCGTTGCATAATGACAACGTAGTTCAATAGAGTAAGGAATTTCCTTCACCGATTGCCCAATATTACAACGAATTTCAAGTTGAACATACATTGAATTGTAATTATTCGAAAACATTTTTCACAGATTTTTTTAAAATATTCAATATCTTCTAACTGTTTACAATCACCAGAATTTTCTATCAGTTTCGTTACTACAACTATTTTTCCGTCTTTCATGTATAAGATGTATGAATCTCGTAGTTTCGTCTTTCGTTTTTTTTCTAAAGATAGACAATTTTAGTGTTTACGTTTGGATTTTCTGGTTTTTTGCATCACAGACCTTTTATGATAAAACATGTCTACATCTAGTTAAGATCCATAACTATTCAGTTCAAATAAATTTAAAACATGGGTTAATTTTAATATTTGAACAATTAAAAAATAGAAACAATTACCCACATAAGACAATGGAAGGTGGCCACACAAAGTCGAAGATCGATTTAATTAGGAAATTGACACTATTCTATCCCGACTCATTGGTCTACAGGTTAAGTGTTTGCGTGCTAAACCGCGTTAGGGATCGTGGATACCCTCTTCTGGGAAGTCCCATACTAGGACTAAACGGTCGTCCTGTGCTTCCAGGCTTTCACTGATCGGTTCATGATTTCAATAAAACATTTGATGGCACAAATTTTTTAATCAGATCAACTTTGTACCATTTGTGTTTATATATATATATATATATATATATATATATATATATATATATATATATATATATATATATGTATATATATATATACCATTTGTAGATTAAACGTCAAATAAATTTTAAACTTGAGTCATTATTACTGCTTTTTTGCCGTTCAGATTCAAAAAATCGTTTGCCTGCTGTCAGAAAATATTCTTCACAATACCTTACCAATATGCAAGAGACAAATTGTCGAATAAACAGTGAATCTGTGCCCAAGAGCTCAACACATACTCCAAACTCAACTTTGGTAAATCACAATCGGTTTTTTCAAAATGATATGATTATAAACAATAATAATCATACTCACACCAACTTATTTTGTGTAGTCAGTGGTTATAAAAATTTTAATAACTTCATCTATTTTTATTTATAATTAACAGTATAAGTTAAGGTAAACATAAGACTATAAATGCTTCATGTCAACTATTTCTTACTATTCTTTGCTCTGTTTGATTTTCCAACATTTTCGCTTTATACTCTGTTGATTCCCCATATCTCTTTCTCTCCGATCATGATGACTTAGAGTGATTTTTTTTCGGTTTTTACATTATTTGTAACTATTTGGGTCATATCATGATGTAATGCGACAAACATGAAAATCACTGTAAATAACATTCGCCTATTGATCAGTATGAAAAACTAATTGTTGATCTGTCATCTCACAGTCGAATGTAGATGTTCATTCATCCCGCGTTTTATGTATCAACCTAAAAGTGCTCAATAGGATTTGATAATATTTTAAACTACAGTTTTTCATATTAACTCATACATGTTCACTGTTCGAATCCTCTTTGTCTGAAACTAGTAAAAGCGATTTAAAGGTAACTTCCTCATTCCATAACTGAGGAATTATACAAAATCACAGAGCACTGGACAGCTGTTCTGTTTTTGTTTTATACTACATTTCAATAGTGTATCTTTTCAAATACATACATAATCGAATATCAGGTCTTTTGGTCTCTTTAGTAGTACAAATTAGGTAGTAGGTTGTAATTTTTGTTATTCGGTTTTCCGAATTCAATTTACTTAGTCCTTAATTTACCAACTCATCCTCTGTATGAAATTTGTTGACTTTTCTTACTTGAAATAGATTAATTATGTTGATCCGTGATTTTAAGTAAGGAAAATGTATATACCACATGCATTGGATTTCAAGTAATTACGTTTTTCTTTGTTTTTCGTTTTTTGATCAATTCCGAAAAGTAAGCTGTAAAGGATAAATTTCAGTATTCAATTGGTCTAAGTAAGTACAGTTGAAGGTGAACTAATGCCGATTAAATAGTCAATCTGTCATAATCGACATGGAGCCTGGCATATATATGCGTCGGTCTAAATTGACATATCACATTAGCACGACAATATGAATAGGAAACAAATAGAAATAATAATATATCAGAAATGATAATGGGAAAGACTAAACATATGATTCGAAAAGATAGAATGAAAAGGTACTTATATAAGATTACTGGGACGGAAGATCTAGAGAAATGTAAACAGTCAATGAATCTGGGAAATTGTGACTGATTCTAAGTTGTGTCATTTGTCTTAACTAACCACTGATTGGGGTTATAGCGTAAACCAGATTTACTTTGTTAGATCAAGCGAAGCATTTATCCTTCATCATTAAACTCCAGACATCTTCATTCATATAGGTTGATCTTGTTCAATTCATTTTGTTATTAAAGTCGTTGTTGATTAGATTTGAGTAGAAGTTGTGTATGAAATATATCCGTGCACATGAGTATACAATCAAATATTACTTAGTATTATATCTCTTGAATTTTGTGTAGATGTTCAGCCAGTTCGAATCTCATATACTAGAAAAGGTTTCTCACAGTACTAAAGCAAAAGAAGTTTGACACATCGGTTGTTGGAGATTCATCCAAATAACTGGTTTCACACAATGGATTTCTTCGCGAGCTACGTATTACATATTGTAAAATTTGATATGTTTTCTTTGTTACCTTTTTTGATAAAATCTTGATAGCACTATTGATTTTTTATCTTATAACTTTTTTTAAATTTTAGTCTCAATTTCAATCAGACGATTTAAATTCATGTAGATCAGCTGTCGAATCACTTCATGCTCTTCGTGTAGCCTTAGATTTGGCTATTAGTCGATTAACTAAATTATCTTGTCATAATCATAAAAGTGAGGAGCATACAAATCTATGTCATATTGTTACTGAACAACTTGAATGGAGATTTTCACGTTTACGTGCTATGCTCGGTCTATCACCAGTATGTGTTGAAGCACCAGTGGCTCGTGTATTAATTGCAGATATTGTAGAACGCTTAATTCCAGAGTTAAAATCAGCTTCTTCAGTGCTAGACACTACAGATGCTTTAAACAACAGTACTAATAATGATAATGTAGATATTGATAATCCAGATAATCAAGTAAGCATTAAAAATAAATCACAATCCCAAAAAGCAATGAATTCGTCCGATACTTCTGGATATAAGATGACCGAAATGAATGACAATTCAACTATCGTCAATCATAAAACTGTGAACATTCTTAATCGCGATGGTTATATCGACAATAACAATAATAATAAAGCGAGGGATGGAAAAATCAGGAACGTAACTCACTATAAAGAACATGGTGATGACAGCAATGGTGATATTCATGAAACATTTATGCAAGAAAATAAGACTCTCGAAACTACCTGAAGAAAAGTTACTATACTTTCGGTCTTTCTATACTTGTTTTTTGTTAATTTTGTATTTATTGTTTTTATTCGACATTTTTTTAATGAAATATAACAGCTCTATTTATGGTATGTACATACTACTTATTTTTCATTTTAGTATTTAATTCAACAAACTTTTGACCATTTGAATTTTTTCTAATTATCAAATATTTAACAGACGGAAACAAACACTTGGTAATATAATGTAGCGGATACTACATATATGCATTTAGCGCCTTTTTCAAAATCTTTTTCAGCGTAATTTGTGACGGGTGTGTAAGTTATAGTCTTACTTATAATATCGCCTTTCACTGGATAACTGTTGATTGGTCATACTACTAATACTATTACTACTACTACTACTAATAATAATAATAATAATAATAATAATAATAATAATAATAATGAAATTCACAATCGTTTTACGTAACTAAATATGCGCACAATGTTACGCTTACTATATTCTCAAATTGTCGTCAAAAAAAGGCTTTTATTTTCCTTCCTATAATACTCACTATGTTTCTTAGTTGTATTTGGATGCATTTTATTGTGAATTGAAAAATCAAATTATGTACACAATTAACAAATCTTTATATTTGGATGTTTATGAAATTATATACACCAATATTTTGCCAAATTACATCCGTTGTTTTAATCAACTAGACAAAATATTGAATATACCCCGCCATTATATATACATATATATATATATCTTATAGTTATATTTTGTTTAGTTCCAAATCATTATTTTGATTTATTATCTCTTTTTAAAGGATCTTCTTTACCTAAACTTTCAACTAAACTCAATAGTGATATATATATATATATATATATATATATATATATATATATATATATATATATATAGTGATTTTCTTTTCTGCTGAACACTATCATTCTTTTTTTATTACTTTGGTTTTCTATTTATGTCTGTGTATATGTGTAAGTTTACAACTTGAACTCGCATATTCTTATTGAAACCTTCCACTGCTTACTCTATCTATTCTTCTTTGCTTTTTGATTTAATTGATTAATGATAATAATAATACTTAAACATTTGTATAACTATCTATTCATTGAAATGATTGAGAATTTTCTTTCCATTTATCTAAAAAATTTGTAGAGAAAACAATTACTAATGTATACGCATATTTCAAAAAAATAAACATATTATAATAGGCGATATATGTCTAATTTAATAAAAATCATAGTAATAATATATATATATATATATATATATATATATATATATATATATATATATATATACAGAAGCAATTTCTTCTCTTAGAATATTACTGACTGTATAATCTTCCCTAACGTTCTGGATTTCGTCTAACACACTACTATGATTATTTAAATGAACATTTTTGGAAAAAAAGATTGTCAGACAAATACATTTAGTTATTTATTATCATAATTGAAATCACGAATTGATCTGACCTTGAAGTACTGGACGGAAGTGCGATCTCGCACTCAACACTCGAACATAAAATCTAGTACATCGAAGATAGTATTAGAAGCGATATACATTATTGAGTTCAATTGAATGTTAAAATAACTCAATAACTGAGTACATACTTCATTTACTGGATTTTAGGTGTACAGGTATTAATGCAAATAGTTAAAATCAGAGGTTCAGTTATTCGAAGTTTAACATTTAGGCTATTAAAAGACTCCCAGTTTCTCTTATGAAATTATGATTTTGTAGTATGGCGTCGAGTCGCGGTTGACTATGATCACCGCTACCAGAAGACTACGTGCCAGTTATCAGGTTAGATCCCTCCGTAGACCAAATATCAGAAGGCGATTGAAGGTTGTAGTAAGATGTATTTGTTGGTGATCTGGCGGTATTGAGGGAATATCGACTTACTTACTTACTTACGCCTGTTACTCCCAATGGAGCATAGGCCGCCGACCAGCATTCTCCAACCCACTCTGTCCTGGGCCTTCTTTTCTAGTTCCATCCAATTCTTGTTCATTTTTCTCATATCTATCTCCATTTCTCGGCGTAATGTATTCTTTGGTCTTCCTCTCTTCCTTCGACCTTGAGGGTTCCATATGAGGGCTTGTCTTGTGACGCAGTTCGGTGCTTTCCTCAATGTGTGTCCTATCCACTTCCAGCGCTTCTTCCTGATTTCTTCCTCCACTGGGATCTGATTTGTTCTCTCCCACAGTAGGTTGTTGCTAATAGTGTCCGGCCAACGGATCCGAAGTATTTTGCGTAGACAACTGTTAATAAACACCTGTATCTTTTGGACGATGGATTTCGTAGTTTTCCAGGTTTCCGCCCCATACAGTAGAACTGTCTTGACATTTGTATTGAAAATTCTGACTTTGGTGTTGGTTGCTAATTGTTTTGAGTCCCAGATATTCTTCAGTTGTAGATATGCTGCTCTTGCTTTGCCAATCCGTGCCTTCACATCTGCATCAGATCCACCGTGTTCATCGATGATACTGCCCAAATATGTAAAGGTTTTTACATCTTCCAAAGCTTCTCCGTCAATTGTGATTGGATTGGTACATGTTGTGTTGTATCGAAGAATCTTGCTTTTCCCTTTGTGTATATTGAGACCTATTGCTGCTGAGGCTGCAGCTACACTGGTTGTCTTCTCCTGCATTTGTTGTTGTGTGTGCGATAGAAGAGCCAGATCATCTGCGAAGTCTAGATCATCCAACTGTATCCTAGCTATCCACTGTATCCCGTGCTTTCCTTCAGATGTTGATGTCTTCATGATCCAGTCGATCACCAGGAGAAAGAGAAAGGGTGAGAGTAAGCAACCTTGCCTGACACCGGTCTTTACTTCGAACGACTTTGTCAACTGTCCTCCATGAACGATCTTGCAGTTTAATCCATCATAGGAATTGTGTATGATATTGACTATCTTCTGAGGCACGCCGTAGTGTCGAAGAAGCTTCCATAGGGTTGTTCTGTCCACGCTATCAAATGCTTTTTCGTAGTCGATGAAGTTGATATAGAGTGATGAATTCCATTCAATTGATTGTTCCACAATGATCCGTAGAGTTGCGATTTGGTCTGTGCACGATCTATCCTTACGGAATCCTGCCTGTTGGTCTCGAAGTTGGGCGTCTACGGAGTCCTTCATCCTGTTTAACAATACCCTGTTGAAGACTTTTCCCGGTATTGAAAGAAGAGTGATTCCCCTGTAGTTGTCACAGTTGCTGAGATCGCCTTTCTTTGGTATTTTGACTAGAAGTCCTTCTTTCCAGTCTCTTGGTACCTGTTCCTCATCCCAGATCTTTCTGAAGAGAGTTTGGAGTATCCTTGCAGTTGCCGCTACGTCTGCTTTCAGTGCCTCTGCTGGAATGCTGTCTAGTCCTGCTGCTTTGCCACTCTTGATTTGTCTGATAGCCATGCTGATTTCTTCAATTGTCGGTGGCCAACATCAATTGGGAGGTCCGTGAGTGCTGCTTCGATGTTGGGTGGGTTCAGTGGGGCTGGTCGATTCAAGAGTTCTTTGAAGTGTTCTACCCACCTGTTTCGTTGTTCTTCAATGTTGGTGATTATCTTGCCTTCCTTGCTTTTCACTGGTCGTTCTGGTTTACGGTGATTTCCGGAGAGTTTCTTTGTTGTTTCATACAGTTGTCTCATGTTTCCTTCTCTGGCAGCCTTTTCCGCCGTCAATGCCAAATCTTCCACATATTTACGTTTGTCGGTTCTGATGCTCCTTTTCACTTGCTTGTTTACTTCTGTGTATTCAGCCTGTGCCTTGACTTTTTCTGCTCTTGTTCGACTGGTATTGATTGCTACTTTCTTGTTCCTCCTTTCTTGAATCTTATCCAGTGTATCGACCGTGATCCAATCCTTGTGATGGTGCTTCTTTTGGCCCAGAACCTCATGACATGTTGAAGTGATTGCCTCTTTTATCTCTTTCCAGTTGCTCTCCATAGTAGTTCCTTCTCCATTGAGTAGATCATGAAAGGCTTGGAACTTATTGCTGAGGGTTATCTTGAATTTATTGCGTTTGTCATTATCCCGAAGAAGAGCCGTATTAAACTTTTGTGATATTGTCCGCCCCGTTGTACAGTGCTTCTTGAGTTTCGATTTCATCTTGGCGACCAGCAAGTGATGATCTGATGCTATATCAGCTCCTCTCTTTGTTCTCACGTCCTCCATCGTCCTCCTGAACTTTTTGTTGATGCAGATATGGTCGATTTGGTTCTGTGTGCTGTGATCCGGTGAAGTCCATGTGGTTTTGTGTATGCGTTTATGTGGGAATATAGTCCCGCCTATGACCAGTTTATTGAAGGCACATAGGTTTGCAAATCTCTCACCATTTTCGTTCCTTTCTCCCAGTCCGTGTCGTCCCATGATCTCTTCATATCCGGTGTTGTCAATTCCAACCTTGGCATTTAGGTCTCCCATCAGAATAGTCAGGTCTTTAGTTGGGCACTTCTCGACGATTGACTGCAGCCTATCGTAGAATTGATCTTTAGCGTCTTCATTGTAGTCATTGGTAGGCGCGTAGCATTGGATGACGTTCATTGTAATGCCCTCTTTCTTTGTTTTGAAGGAGGCTTTGATGATCCTTGGTCCATGAGATTCCCATCCTATAAGTGCATTTTGTGCTTGTTTGGACAGCATCAATGCAACTCCTTGTGTATGTGGAGCATTTTCTTGTTCATGTCCGGAGTATAACAGCAGCTCCCCTGAAGCTAGTCGTTGTTGTCCAACTTGCGTCCAATGTGTTTCACTGATCCCAAGCACCTCTAAATTGTATCTCCTCATTTCTGCAGCAATTTGGAAAACTCTCCCAGTATCCCACATTGTGCGAGCATTCCATGTACCTAAATAAATGGTTGCTCTGGTTGTCAGAAGGGGCATCGGCCTCGTGACTTCCGAAGAAACTCGGCTTTCATCATGAGGCGTCATAATTCTTCTAAACGAAGACCTCCTGACTCCCAAGGCAGAGTTTAAATGGTTTGAATAATTTTTTCTGGTTAGCGTTTTTTTAGCGAGTTAGTTTTCTACGGGATGGGGTCGCTAACCCCATGCCCAACCCTCCTCCTTTATCCGGGCTTGGGACCGGCAGTAGCCCCCGGAAAGGGACTCCAGGCGGAGTTGAGGGAATATCGAGATCGTGTCAAAAAGTAAAAGTGTAACTACTGAGCGTACACGAGTTCGTGCAATGTCACAGAAGAATGTGTGTTATTAGTATACTTAAACAAACAAGTACAGTAAAATAATCACTGGTACAACTGGTTATAATAATAATTGTTTCCATTATACCAATCGCGTTCTCTTCATAAAAGTAGATCACTACAATCTCAACACTAGTTATTTGGTTGAAGATTAGATGGTCTAATTATAAAAGTTCGTGAATTTCAAACACCGATTCTGATTTGAGCTTGGTCAATTTAATTTAAAAACAAAATGAATGAATGAGTTACCCCAACTTTAAGTCATTTGGCTAGTCAATCTGTTCAAATCATTTTTATTGACTTGAAATGTCTTGAATTTATTGTGTTTTTGTTCTGAGGAATTAGGTAGTATGGTTTATGTTATGGCTTGTGACCTGATAATATATCACGACATAATATCGCCATTTAGAGGCACCGCCTTATACAACCAGACCAATGAGGTGTACACTTGTATGAGCAGCCTAAAGTTTTTTGAGACTTAGTTTCTCGCATAAGCCAGCCGGTTCAGTCCAGAACGCAAATACCAGCCTCCGTAATATGAATCATATATATCAGTGTTATAACTTGTGACCTGTGTGTCATTCATCATGCTTATAGGGACCTAACAATCAGACATACTGGATTTATATACAAACAAACTAGACCTGATCGTACCATAAAATAAAAAATAACAATTTTACAAGATCAAGCGAAAAAGTGGCTGTGATTGCAAGAGACTATTACTAATAAATTGGAAATATCTTAAGAATAGTAAATCGTATAATAATAGTCAATAGGTCCAAAAACAGCTTATAATGAAGGGAAAATGAAAACACATATAATATAGTTATTTAATGGTTATGCAATAAGAATATATATTAATAATAGTCTACAAATAGATCCTAGCGGTTACTATCCACTTATTCTTTGCCCGGATTTAACAGTTTAGTTTTCACAATGTTCACTACATAAATTTAAGTAAGATGTGTGAATTTATATTATCGAAATGTTTGCAAATAGATAAGTAAATTTAGCATATCA